TCGTGATTGATTCTAGGGCCAGATTCGTCGGCTCGACGACGGCAGCCTGCTTCGCATACTCTTGAACTGCCGAGGGAACGAAGAAGCAACCGGCCATGATACCAAATACCAACAATATCAATACGGTGATGGATATCACTGACGCCCATCGTACAGAACTCTTAGTGGTCGTGCTCGGCGGGTTTGAAGCGAGGGAGGCGGCGCGGGACCTCTCAGGGTCGTCTTGCTCGCCATCGTATCGGGGCGTCGCAGAAGAGCTGGATAACAGAGGCGCCGATTCGGACAATGAAGAGTCATCTTCGGCCCTGCCTTTGCCCTTGCCCGCCAGGAGCGGCGATCTTTCTTCGTCTTCGGCCATTGCGCGTAGAGAACTATCGTGATCACAGTTTGTGGTGTGTCGTTGTCGGATCAGAGCGCAAGAAAGTCCGTCATCGCCGGTCGAGATGGCAAACAGTAATGAAACCAAGAAAAAGTCGTACAAAAGGAAATCATGCAGAGAGGAAGTGTACGGGGTTCCGATCTTGCCCAGACAACCCAGATAGTCGGGATTCGTAATGGTGATGATGTCAAGTAACTTGGTTCATCCCAGGACGGGCAGTGCGGTTGAAGAGGCCGGGGTGGAGGTCAGCTGAAACCAATGAGACGAGATCTGGTCACCGGGGCGGACTTTCCACACAGCGCCCATGTGGATGGCTGGGGATGATCTTCCCACCCACGCCTCAATTGCCCTCCAGTGCCTGGCCGGGTGGGCACGGGCCTTTCCTTCCTTCTCAGGCACACATGCACCACCTGGGCACCCTCAGTCTGCACTACTGCAGTTGCAGCAGTAAATCACTGCCCACTGGTGACTGCCCGGACTACGGCCAACTTATGTTGTTGGCGAGTTCCGGTTCCGGCGCTTTCGACAGACCAGTCTGGGCCCACGCAGCAAGAAATGCCTTTAGGAAAGCTACCTTATCTAGGTACACAGTGTCAGTGCCTCGCCTGTATAATCCTTATCGTGCTATCCTTCCATTCTGGCCTGACCTTGCATACGCCCTGCAACGCGCTGTGGCTACAGGCAGAGGGTGACTCTGAAATTTTCGGTGTAAAGCGGTGAGGAGTTCGTTGAGTTTGCAGCCCGCAGGAGACTTTGTGGAGGTCCCGGCCGTTGTAGTCTCTCACTGAAGCTATCCATCCAATCCAATCGTGACTCAACCAACTCTTAATACTCATCAATTGACCACCCCTTCGACTCATTAGCCATTTTCTCTCACTATTCACAACTTCAGACTGAACCTACATCCATTGACCCTCAATTGACTTGACTCGACCTGCACAAAGGGGTCTACAGCTTCTTGCATTTCACACTTTCTTAAAATTCGACCCTCCAAGTCGCCCACCATGAAGCAAACGGCTTTCCGAGTCACTCGTCAAGCTCTCAACGGCGCCCAGAGCCGCGCATACTCACAATCGACCGGCCCGCGCCATCTCATGTCCATTGCGGACCTGAGCCCGGCCGAGTTCGCTACCCTCGTCCGCAATGCCGCCTCAAACAAGACCGCAGTCAAGTCCGGCAATGTGCCCCAGGCGCTCGCATCGAGCTTGACCGGCAAGACCGTTGCCATGATGTTCAGCAAGCGCAGTACCCGTACTCGTGTGTCGACAGAAGCTGCCGTGGCTCTCATGGGTGGTCATCCCATGTTCTTGGGCAAGGATGACATTCAGCTCGGGGTACGTTGACGGAAGCTCACATGAGATGGAGTGCACTCAAGTAACAGGCTGTCTAGGTTAACGAGTCTCTGTATGACACCTCCAAGGTCATCTCTTCCATGACCTCCTGCATGGTCGCCCGTGTCGGTCCTCACTCTGATGTCGCTGGGCTGGCCAAGGACTCTAGCGTCCCTGTCATCAACGCGCTCTCCGACGACTACCACCCTCTGCAGATTATTGCCGACTTCCTGACTATCCACGAGGCATTCCCTGCCTCTGCCACCTCAGACAAGGCCGACCTGGGCCTGAAAGGAATGAAGGTCGCCTGGATCGGAGACTCCAACAACGTCCTCTTTGATCTGGCCATCGGCTGCGTCAAGATGGGTGTCGATATCTCCGTGGCCTCTCCCACTGGCTACAGCATTCCTGAGGCCATGAAGGCCGTCATCAACTCTGCTGCCAAGGGCGTTGCCTCTCCCGGTAAGCTGACAGAGACGACCGTTCCCGAGGAGGCCTGCAAAAACGCCGACATCCTGGTGACCGATACGTGGGTTTCCATGGGCCAGGAGACCGAGACCCAAAAGCGTCTCAAGGCCTTTGCCGGCTTCCAGATCACCAACGACCTGGCCAAGCGCGGCGGTGCCAAGGAGGGCTGGAAGTTTATGCACTGCCTGCCTCGTCACCCCGAGGAGGTAGCCGATGAGGTCTTTTACAGCCCTCGTTCCTTGGTCTTCCCTGAGGCCGAGAACCGTCTCTGGGCTGCTGTTTGTAAGTTTCACTTTCTATATCTCTCGGCAGACGTCACGACGCTAACGATCGAACAGCTGCCCTCGAGGGCTTCGTTGTGAACAAGGGCAAGATCTAGGTGGGACATGTGTCGGCGTTTAAAAGGCTCACAGCTACAACAAAAGGCGAGGCGTTTCTTTCTTTGGTAAACAAATGGTACAAATTGTATAGCAACTTGGTAGCATTGAAAAAGATGGCAATACCCCTTTTTTACCAACGCCGGATATTCTTTAATACAAAATAGCTTAACCAGGGGGAAGCTGGCTAGCGTCAACAACCTCATCCGCTTCCTTGATAATCGTCTCCTCGTTGGGTCCGTACAAAGGCGAACGGGGCAGAGCCATCAGACCAGTGCGGGCAGACTCGAGAATACCAAAGGGTCCGATGAGCTTCAGGAAGGAGTCGATTCTGGACGGCTTGGCGGAGCTGCGCGATTGTCAGTACACACTTTCTTTTCGGCTTCCGTCGGCTGAGGAGTAGAGCAAACTTACACTTCAACAATGCAGCTGTTGGTGCTGATATCCAGGACCTTTCCTCCGAACTGGTGGGCGAAGTAGGTGATGGACTTGAGATGCTCGTGCTTGTGGCGCAATGCCTGACTGACAGCCAACTTGCTGGGGTGGAAGTCCTTGGCGACATCCTCCAGAGTCTGCTGCTGCTCGCCCTCGAGCGCATGCTCCTCGACATCGACAGCCGTCATCTCACGGTGGTGAGCGAGCAGCTCCTCAAAGTACTCGGGTCCAAGAATGTTGATCTTGGCCAGCAGAAGCTCGCGCTGAACCAGGGCGGCGTTGGTGTAGTCCAAGACGGCCCAGACGGGGACGAGATCCTCCAATTGGCGTCTGGCCTGCTCGACAACACCATCCTGTCCGGTCAGGACGATGGTCATGCGCGAGAGGTCATCGACCTCGGTGCTGCACACGACGAGGGAGTCAATGTTGAAGCCGCGGGCGGCGAGAATGCCGGAGACGCGGGACAAGACACCGGGCTCGTTCTGGACCAGGCAGTTGAGGATGTGACGCTTCGGGGGTTGCGACGACGGGGAGGGCATGTCGTAGAGGATGTTAGAGACGGCGGCCTGGGCGGACCAGGCGGGCGGGCTGTCGCTGACGGGCAGAGGCGCCGAGCGGCGTCGAAGAGCCTTGTAGGCGATGGCAGAGGTCGAGCTGGTGGTCGAGCTCCATCGTGCGGCGGCGGAGAGCGATGTCGCTTGAGCCGGGGCGGCGGCGGCCCGCCAGAGCGAGGTCGAAAGGAGGCGACGAGACGCCATCTTTCCAGGTTCAATTTGGCGAGAACAAGCCAATTGCTCTCTTTTTGGACCAGAGGAAAGAGGAAATCTCAAGAGAACCTTGGAGTAGTGTGACCTTCCGAGGTTCAATGGCTTGGGGGAGATAAGAAAGAAGCACCCTGACTCACCGTCCGTGTCAGTTCCCACTGGGAAAATTTGAGGAGATTGGGGGACGATTTCTTCGGAGGCAAGTCGGAGGCGCGGAGGCAGGGGAGCTGGCCGTTCGCAGGGGTAGAGGGGCACGGATCAGCTACTGACAAGGGTTTTTCACCGAGAGAGTGGACTCCCTACTGACACTGCATCGCGGGGTCGGCTTGGAGGGTGCGGGGTTACATCCGGCACTGTGTCACTTGCTGACCTGTAGCAGCATTTCCAAAGTAATCACCATGTTTTTTATTATACCTTTAGAGAGGTAGGATCGGAGTGGGAGACGCGTCTGTTGTTTGTTATACAGTACTAGACATCATGTAGTAAGTGGCCAACACAGCTTCGAGTGAGTATATTTCGGACAATGGATAACTTGAAAAAACGGGTTTTAGGTACTGAATAGTTTTGTCACTGGGCAACCGCTCAAATCGCATCTGGCCGTCAATCTCAGTTCAAAGACTTATTGCTTACTCTCAGTATCATGCAAAGTAGACCTATCTTGGTACCTCACCTTGAGTCAGTGACCTGGAACCGAGAGACTTTGCAACAGAAGCTAGTCTACAGTTCAACTACTTCTACGCAGTAGCTCCAGGAGAGATCGTATACCTAAGTACTTCGTGTTTGCAACTGTGTTGTTATCTTTCATTTGAGAATTGATTGTTGTTAGCAAGACAATATCCGAACTGCAGATAGGCATTTGGTTCAGGACATCTTGAACTCCCGTCGAGACACTCAAATGACCGTAAGCTTTGAGATCCACAGATTCCATGCCAAGGTCACTGAGCCAAAGAATACCAGACCAGGAAAAACATCAGTGGTGAGCTGTCGCTTGAAGAGGAATAGGTAGAGCGTCAAGTGTGAGGATGGTCCCGTTGGCCGCATTCTTCCATTCCTGCCGATAATCGCTCCGATGCTACCATGTGGCTGGTGCAGACTAAAAACAGCAGCTACGTCTGACACCTGAGGCGCTAAATCCGTGACGGCCAGGCCCATCGCCGCCCATGGGAACGACCGTCGACAGAATCGTCTTGCCGCACGGGCCAAGCCACTTTATTTTGGCCCGTCCGTCTCTCCAAGGCTCCACCTCCAAAGAGCTTCATACCTCGTAAATTTTACTATCCCAATCTTTTACTTCCCACATATCGATCGCCAGGCGCTTGCGCATTACCCAAACGCACGCCGAACGCGAAAATCGACAACGAGCGACTATAGTTTCAACATCATTGCATCACAGACGTCGCAATGGACGACACCGAGCGACGCTCCGCCAAGCGCTCGCGATTCGACCAAACCGAGCCCGAGCCTCGCAAGGCTTCGAGATTCGACCGCCGCTCTAGATCGCCGCCTGGAAGACGTTCAGAGTCGGCAAGAGAGCGTAGCCCTCTGCCCAATGACCAGGCGACAGAACCGAAGAAGTCGCCAGTAGATGCCGCTGCTGCGGCCGGTACGGGTTGCTCCTCGCTTTGGCTGTAGAATGAATGGCTAATAGACTCATAGCTGCCGCGGCCGCGCGAATCAACGCGCAACTCCAAGCGAAAAAGGGCATTCAGCATGTCGACGTTCCCCCGATCAAGACCGCCACTTCTCCTACAGGTGGTGCCCAATCGCCCGACCCGGCCAACACGATCAATGGAGAGATGTACATCGCCGACGGCGACTTCATCAAAGACATTGAAGTCAACGACCTTCGTAACAGATATCTCTTGACCAAGGGGTCGACTCAGAAGATGGTAAATACTCCTGTGCAAAACCACTGATCATACTTCCTTCCCAGGCCTCATCTCGAGCGCATTCCGCTTTCCTACATGTAAACAGATTTGTGTCGAGATCATCCTGCTTACTTGGCACGATAGCTCGCACAGATCACCCCTCTTTGGCACCTGCTGACTCCATTTGCTTGATTTAGATCAAAGAAGAAACTGGTGCTGGTACGATACACCTCCCACTTTTACGTCTAATTAGGAACAAAGGTTGACTTTGCAAGATGTTACTACCCGAGGAAACTACTATCCCGACAAGAGCATGGCGACTGCGGCGGTATGTCAACTTCGAAAATCATGGTATAGTAACACACACTGACTCTCACCCTAGAATCCGCCTTTGTACTTGCATGTCACAAGTACATCCAAGACTGGACTTGAGCAGGCCGTGGCAAAGATTGAGGAACTCATGAAACAGGAACTTCCCGCGCTGGTAGATGAACGTCGTTTCCGTCGACGCGACCAGGAGCAGGTTGAGAGGGACGAATATGGCCGAGTATGTATGCAAATCAGTCTCGAAAATTTGTGTCTAACATATTGCAGCGCAAATGGCCCGAGGAGAAGATCCCTATCGGTTTGGAGTCCGTCCCCGGATTCAACCTCCGCGCTCAAGTTGTTGGCCACGGCGGTGCCTACGTCAAGCACATCCAGCAGGAGACTCAGTGTCGTGTCCAGATCAAAGGACGTGGTTCCGGGTATCTGGAGGCAGCCACCAATCGCGAGAGTGATGAGGACATGTATCTTCATGTCGCGTAAGTGCATTGTCACCTTGCCAACATTAACGCATAGGTACTGACTCTGAATAGCGGACCTGACCCTAAGATGGTTGAGAAGGCCAAGGAGCTTTGCGAGGATCTGATTGCAAATGTCAAAGAGCAGTACGAAGAGTTCAAGAGCAGACCTCCTCGTAGTTATGGTGACCGTGGGGGCTATGGCGACCGCTCGCGGGGGCACGATGGCGGCCATGGCGGATATGGAGGCCACGGTCACGGTGGTGATCGCAGCGATCGCGGCGGCTATAACTCCGGATACGGAGGCCACGGCGGCCATGGTGGCCACGGTGGTCACGGCGGCGGCGGCGGCTATGGCGGCCACAACTCTGGGCAATCAGCAAGCCCTGCTCCTGCCGGCGGTTCTAACAGCCCTGCCGCTGGAGCCGACTACGCCGCTCAGTACGCACAGTACTACGGCAGTCAGGATCCTTACGCTGCCTATGGCGGATATGCCGCTTACGTTCAAATGTACCAGCAGTACTATGCTGCCGCGCAAGCACAGCAGCAAGGCTCGCCCGCGCCTCCGGGAGCAGCGGCATCCCCTCCACCCCCGCCTCCCAGCGAGGCTGCTCCTCCTCCACCTCCTCCGAGCTCTGCTCCCCCTCCCCCTCCCTCAGGCGCGCCTCCAGGCACCGGAGGAGGTTACGGTGCCGTAAGTACCATTACTTCAACGTTGACTGAGGAAATTTTGCTAACACAGAGGATAGGTACCGCCCCCTCCCGGCCTTTAGAGAGAGAGTCAGGAAAGAGGCAAGGGTCTCAGGTGTTAATGACAGTCGAAATTGCAAAGCCACGAAGTGATGGGAAGAATCATCAGAGGCGCATCACTGTAGTATGTGAGCGGCTTTGTGCAGGAGATGGTCACTTGGACGTTAAAGGAGGCACAGGTGAAGTTGTATATGACTCAACAGACATAGTAATATTACCACAAAACAACACACATGACGTATATGTACATTTAGTCCTACCAGGGTTTCGTAATATTAGTCCTGTTGAGCTGTTCCCTTACTAGTCAGCGCATTGGCTAATAGTGTCACTGACTTGCTATAGCATGACAGAGTTACATTTAAAATATTCAGCTTTGAATTTTCTCTGCTATGATAGCTTTGTGTCGTTTCTCTTGGGAGTAGCTATGGGGAAATAATCTTGCTTTCGAGACTGAATCTAGCAAAAGTTGACGCGGGTCACAAGGCATAGATGAAGGTGCGAGAAAATATTGTATTTAACTTTCACAAAGAACATCTCAAACTTCTTAGAAAACACCGAAAAAAAGGAAGGAAGGAAAGGCTGGTGATGACTTACTCGATACTTCACGCCCCTATCCGGAATCGAACAGCGCGCCCCTCCGACCACCACTGGCTTCATTGGGGTATTTCATTTAATCTCGACTCTGCGTCAGAGTCGAACCCACTCGGCCAATTTACCGCGGGGTGGTGGTGACAGGAACGACGTTGGGATGGGATATATACCCTCAGTCTCCCCTGGGTGAGTAAGTAGATAGGCAGGTTGAGGAATGAGGGATGCGGCGGAAGGAAGGAACGATACAGGCGTACACCACTTTACCCATGAACTAAGGTATGGCACGTAGAGAAAGTGATCCTAAGAACACAGGCCTTAAGACCTTTTAGGTGATCAGCTTCGCTGGCAAGATAATGACCTACTCTGGTAAAAGGGATGAATGTAACTAGAGCACCCGACGAGGTAATCTCTCTGAGCTGAATAAATAACTCAAGGATCATTTTCAAACCAGAGACTGCCATCCCACTGGAAGATAGGGTCTACGACGGTAGTTGCGGGCATGGAGTGGACAACACTTGAAGTCAATCTTGACTCTCTGAAGGGAAAAGGTACGAAGGAGGTGTTATCAGGCTTGCTCCCACCTGGGCACTGCACCAAAAGCCATCCTTCCCGTGCGTCTCGATCTAATCTTTACCGCTTTAAGCTGCCTTTTTGTCCAGCCGCTTGTGTTCCAGTGTGTGGGATGATCCTCTCTTTCGTGCTGTGATATCTCTCTCCGATATTATTGGAAAGATATGCTCTATCCCGCGTCCAAAGGGGCACGGGGCATTGCGGAAACATTCGACCATCCGAGAGCATTCGTTCGGGTTTACTTGGCGTACCCCGCATGCCTAGGATTGCATGACGGAGGTTTGGTATCATATCTTTTGTACAGGCAAAGACTATTTCAATCTTCCATCGTGTTAACTCACAAGAGAATAGTGTGGGCGAGGATATTGTTTCAAGCCGACATAGAGCATGGCTGATGGCTTAAATTAGTCGCTCAAAACTATTTTGATAGTCTTTCATATGAAGTTGGTATAGCACTGCTTTCACACGGCTTCTTCCTCCAAGAGCTAATCAACACACCATAACTTTTCCAAATCTTCCACCTTATCCTCATTGCAGACCATTACGTAAATCTTGACATCTATAACACCGACAAGCCAGCATGTTTATCAAACGTCTTAGACAAAGAAAAACGAGGGCGGATGAGAGTAGTGATGGGTGATTGTGTGGTTTCATCCATCTGCGACTAAGAGTTAACTGATGCTGCCGATATCCCTTTGCAAATTTTGGAGGGGAAACCTGCGAAACCACTTGACCTCTGCAACCGAAGTATAAACTACAGACCGAAATGAGATCCTCGTGTCGTTAGCGAAACTGATCACCTGAAATGTCTTTTGGTCCATATTCTTGAGACCGCTTTCGCTACGGACTATGCCTTCACTTCAGACTGGACCAACACTTTGGACGACAATTCATCCACAGTGCGCGGGCCCGTCCGCCCTCCGTGGACCTCGAAATCGGAACCCCGGGTGGGGCCATGGCATGCGGGGGAGAGCTCCGCCCGCCGGCCTGGGTCTTTCCACACACCCACTCTCTTATCGATAAAAGACATCCCGGGACCCACCAGAGCTACTAGGAAAGGTAAGACCCCAAATCGTCATTTCGTCCCACCAACCCATCTCTCCAACATCTCTCACCTCTCCGTATCTCCAATTATCATATCTCGTCCCGCGGCGTATCCCCCGCTACCCGAGCCCGACGACACACCGAACCCTTCCAAACAACTCCCCCTCTCCCCATCGTCCAGCGAGACGCGAACACCGCAATAATGAGCCATCAAAGATACCCGTCACACGACCCCCTCAAGGAGCCTCACTCCGTCTCCTTGAAAGTCCTCAGGTAGAGATCCCGACTTACACGCAGCTGAGTGCCTCGTCCTCTCACTTAGTCCGCCAATACCCAAGAAAAAGAACATTCTTCTCTAACACGAAAACAAACCAATAGACTATCCCGTCCCTCACTCGTAATCCAACACCCGATCCGGCCCCCGCTGACGCCCTCCAACCTCCCCGCCGACCCGACCCCGGCCTCCCTCGCCTACGACACAACCGCCTCAACGAACCCCTCCCCCTTCCTCCTCTCCCCGATCCTCAATCTCCCGCTGAGCTTCGGCTCCGCCTACGTAGGCGAAACCTTCAGCTGCACCCTCTGCGCAAACCACGATGTCCCCGAGCCCGTAGCAGCAGTCCTGGGGGGAGGAGGACCCCTCGGCGCCACCGGTGCAGCAGCAGCAGCAGCAGCATCTACGGCCCCGGCAAAACGCAAGAGCATCCGCGACGTCCGCATCGAAGCGGAAATGAAGACCCCAGGCGCGAACTCGATTCAGAAGCTCGACCTCTCCCCGCCAGACTCTACGGATACCGGCGGCGGCGGCGGCGACGATGACCTAAAGGGAACGGACCTCGAGGCCGGCGACACCCTCCAGCGCATCGTAAATTTTGACCTCAAAGAGGAAGGCAACCACGTCCTCGCCGTGACGGTGAGCTACTACGAAGCCACCGAGACCTCGGGCAAGACGCGCACCTTTCGGAAGCTGTACCAGTTCATCTGCAAGTCCTCGCTCATCGTCCGCACGAAAATCGGCCCGCTTGCTCCCGCTTCTTCCGGCAAGAAACAGGGCGGCGGTGGTGGGCAGCGGCGGTGGGTTATGGAGGCCCAGCTGGAGAACTGCTCCGAGGACGTGATCCAGCTCGAAAAGGTGGTGCTGGATCTGGCCGACGGCTTGGGCTACACGGACTGCAACTGGGAGACGGGCGGGGGCGCGCGGCCGGTGCTGCACCCGGGCGAGGTCGAGCAGGTGTGCTTCGTGGTGGAGGAGGCCGAGGGGACGAGGGCGCAGCCGGGCGAGGACGGGAGGATCATGTTTGGGGTCCTCGGGATCGGGTGGAGGGGCGAGATGGGGAATAGGGGGTTTCTTTCCACGGGCAAGCTGGGCACGCGACACGTGGCGTGAGCGAGGGAGGTCTACTCAAGTCTCACGCACACAAAAGTCCAGACCAGCAAAACAGCAGTTGAGGCGTTCGTTGGGGTGGGAGGGGAAGGGGGAAGCATTGTGTTGGTGAAGACGGCCCCGGCGACGGTGACAGCTGAGGAACGCGACGCAGAGCGCTCAAGGCGTCCCCAGATTCAGCCCAGTGTCAAACCACACACATCTCCACCATCCGAGGATTGGTATACACGCACTACGCCTTGGGAAGAGCCGTGCTGATGGCTTGAGATCCCATCAAAAAAATCCAAAGGGAACTAGATTACGGGAGCTGGATCAGGTCTCCCGCGCACGGTCGAGGCGTTGAGCCGTGTTTCCGGGGCAAACGCCGCATCACGATGGAGGAGGATGAGGAGGGTTATCATCCTTCGCTTCGTGGACGTTGTTGGACCTCTCTGCGTTGAAGGAAGGGGGGAAAAGGCGTGTCGGTGCTCAGGAGAAACGCATCTTGGCATCCCCAGCAGCTGAGATGACCCTCGTTGAAGATACCTACCCTGCTTTAGAGTGAGAATCCCATAGGCCGTGGCGTTCACGACGCTCGGATGCGCCACTAAACCCGCACCAACATGTCACATTATCTTAAAGAAATGTGTACCAGTTCCTGAAAAGCCCCCCTCGAACAGGCAGTCCAGTCCTTTCCCCTCCATTCCCCACCAGGTGGCTGACCTTTTGACACCTTCAGATCTCAGCGGGTTCAAACCTAAGATCTCGAAACTCTAAAGAACGTCCTGAGACTATTGCACGAACGGCTCTTAGCGCCGCCCTTCTCTCTCTCCCCAAGATTCGTTTGCTTACCCTCTTGCCTACCCTTCGGTCCTTCTTTTCCTCCAACAGGGCTGGCAATGGTTAAATAAAAGGGATCACGGAGGCAAACCGTGGTCACAGCGCCCATTCCTTCCTGCTCGTTTTCATTACGACTTACGAGGTTCTCTTTTTTCCATATTACATATGACCTACAGTTGTGGTACACCGAGTGACATGGCTAGCCAAGGGCCGCAGGTGGACACGAGCAGCAGAAGCATGAGCAGCAGTAAAAGTGCCATGCGGCCTTGGTTGCTCTGCGTATTTCCTGTCGTGTCTCCCGTCCGAAACAGGAACCTGGTTCTGTAGTTCTGCAGTCCTGCGGTCGCATTGCATGGGATCGACAAGTGGCTTCACCACATTTGAGCGGTTCCCCTTGCCACGGCTAGGCCGCTGTTGAGGATTGATTACGGTTGGTATTTGCCGGAATGAGACGACCATCTCGTTTGGGTAGCTTGCAGCGAAAAAAGCGAATTAAAGTAGACACGTTGGGCTTTCAGCTCCTCCAAAAGTCCAACCCAATACTTGGGGGGTTCTGCAAGGAGTGCGCCGTAATGTAATAAGCAGCGGCTTCGGGGACGTAATTTGAATCTAGGGTTGTAACTGTGTTGAATCTCTTTATTTCTCAGCCTCTCAGGTGTGGATTAACCACTGGAACTGCACGCCGCAGATTGGAGGATATTTCCGGGTGGCATGGGTGGGTAGATGAAGAAATCCAGAATAGATGCGCCCGCCTTCCGCTGACTGGCATGAAGAGCAGAATGACTCTACGTCGGCTGGAAGAGTCATGACTTGTGAGTCGTTCAAGTTGGCAAGTTGAATTCTGAGCAGAGCCATCTTCTCGTACATTCGAAGAAAAAAACCTAACTCTGGGCGATCCAAATCCGGCGAGATGATGAGTCGCTATCGCGGGCCAGGGGCCAGGGAAGGCAGACAAGACCGACAGATTCCAGCTAGTAGAGTTTTGTACACCGTAACGTGCCTAGCGCGTGGGTTGAGTCGGTATGTAGGCAAAATCTGAAACAAAGATTTCTTCAGTTCTTTGGCTGGCTGCAGGAAAAGGAGTCTGTAGTGGCTGTCCTTCCCGTCGAGCCGTCTGCAATCCTAGTACCGGTAGACCGCTGATGTGTCCATACCAGACCGACCAAACAGTCTCCGAAGATGTCACGATGCGGGCGGGTCCCTGGGAAGCAACAATTCGCGGCGTAACCTGGGTTCAAGGATTGGGCGTATGGGCAATCGACTCACTCTGAGAGAACATCTCAAGAGATGGCATGGGTTTCCTGGGCATGACAAGTGCGTAGTACTACTAGTACACCGTAAAGTGCCATGGCGGGCATCTGCCGGCGCTGGTATTTGCTTTTTGGCGCCGATGAGAAGTGGTCCGCAAAGGGCTCTCGGGAAGGGGGGGGGGGGAAGTATGGCGGCTAGTGAGCACCAAGCACCAGCACCACCACCCACAGACACTTGAAGCTGTGCGCCGATCCTTGTCCGTCATGTTCGACATCTCGGGCCCACGATCGGCCATGGACCGTGATATCAAGCCTATATGAGAAAGGAATGGTTTTTTGCTCTGTGCGCGTTAGAATTTGCTGTTCTGGGAGAACCTCTGAGCAGTGTCCTGGTCCCGCACCCTTCCAAGAAACAGGTACGGTTTACAAGTGTAACCAGACATGGCAAGGAATGCTTATCGAAGCTGCTTGGTGCTCGATGGTCGTCGCGGAGAAGCGGGAAGAGGCCCATTGAGAGCGACAAGCCTCGAGCAAATTGCTGCCGACAGGCTCTTGAAACGTGCGATTGTACACCAAGGTAGACACTCCATTACAGCATGCAAGACAATTCGGCAAGCTCGTCGACAAGCAGGTACGCCCACAAGATGACATTTGATAGATGCCGACTCGAGGCAAAGTGCATGAGACGGGCGAGGAATACTCCGGAGTCTGTAGCGAGCATTGAGATGCAGACCGCCTTGGATGCTTGCAAGTTGCAGCTTCTTTGCTTGCTCGCCCTGTCCACGCTGAGCCATTCGTATTCGTCAGAACGCCAGACGTGTGGAAATGCGCTTGTATGCTGCAGTCTGCAGAAGCTCCATGGGCCGTCTTGCGTAGGAGCTATGAGAGGGCAATTGGAGTTTACCCACATCCCAAGAGGGTGTGATGCAGGAGCCTGATAACCCCTGGGCCCTGGGCGGCGTGCATGGTTGGCTGGTTGACCTGGGGTTGAGTTTACCAGGTTGGCAAAGACTTTGTACTCGCCTTCGCCGTGATGCCGGATGAACAGGTCATAGTCAAGTGTTTGCGTGGTCGGTTTCGTTTGACCGCCATGCTAGAGAGACTCGTGCGAACTACTACGTATGAGTTGAATCGTGATCAGGTAGGGCAGACGACAGGCCTCGATGGCAGGGAAGTCGGACGATGGGTAGAGTCGTGTGTCAGGCAGGCGGCCAAGAAAAGACAATGACGAGGGTATCGATACTGTCAACATCCATGAGGATGGGATACGATGGGTTGGTGGGGAGGATCCACAGGCGAGAGAATTAGCCAAGGATTATCCTCATGGTGGTTTTGTTCCGAGAGAATTTTGGATCTGGTAGATTCTTTCATGTCGGGCGATACGTGGATGGAGATGCGAACGGGGTTGGACATGAGCCAAGCGCCGGTTCGCGGCATCTCGGGACAGGAGTTTGGGGGTTTGGCCGTGAGCTAACGAATGGCTGGAGGACGTCATCTCCATCGTACCAATGGAGAAGAGACTTGTTGGTTGACCTTAGCTTGGGATTGCATATTTTGCGGGCTTGAAACCTATTTCGTCTTCTTTTCGATATTGTGTGCTGTTGATGCGGCGTGTACGGATACTCGCAGTGTGTCGTGTGTCTGGAGAGAATTGCGAGAAGAGGAGTACCGTAATAATATGCCAAAACGCCTGCGCATGGCTGAGGGCGCAAGGCAAGTAAGCAGTGGTTGACGCATTCAGCGAAAGGCGCAGGCCGGGGTTGGTTGACCCTCGTGGGTGAGATGCTTCTTACACGTGCGTCTTGAAGAAAACAGGCGTGGGATACCGGTGTACCTACCTATCTGCACTCTGCAAGACGGGCGCTTTCTAGTTGGGCAGCCCCCGAGGTTGCTTTGCAGGTGCTTGGTGCTTGGTGCATGGTGCTTGGTGCATTGAACAGGACCTTCATCCTGGAAAGCGTCGTGGGCTAGCGCTGGGCCGCTCACATTTCAGATTTCTCCCCTCATTGGAGCAGGTCCCAGACTTTCTGGAGACAATGGATATCATGGGGGGCTCTCGAGTTGCTAAGTGACCGGAACCTACTTACCAGAAGCCCCGGGAGAGAGAAAAGAAAGGATTGCGGGAGGGATACCTAGTTAGTGTGTTGCGTAGAGCTGAGGGCCGGCAGAGGAGGCAGAGCTGAGAACGATCTGCCAAGGTACTAAGTGCGTGGAGGTACACGATGCTAGGCCTCTGGCGGCAGCAGCGAAAAAGCAAGTGAGGGGAAGAGCGATTTACCTTGGAATATTCCGTGATGGCACTGGAGCTGAAGAGGAGATCGCCGAGTAAAGAGGAGTTGAGAGTGGATGCCGGCGGAGGAGGAGCACGTTGCGGAGCCTGCAGTGCTGCTTCAGTACGGAGTGTTTGTACGGATACTGAGGATGCAAAGGTAGGTACGTAGGTATGGATATGTATTGCATGGCAAAAGGTGGATTGCGGATTGTCACGATGGTGGAGCTGAATTCACTAAAAGGAATGGAAGTTCAAGGAAGTTCATGGGAGGGCATGAAAAAGGGTCAAAAAAGGGTCTGATGGGCAGAATCAGAGTGGCAGCAGCTGTGGACGAGAGTGGGTGGATGTGGGCTCTGGCAATGGGTTATGGGCCATCATCCACAATTCGCAAAAGGAAGTCGTCTGTCTCCCCCGTCTCCCCAGCGCTTGCTCCGATGGTAACCTCCAGGTTAGGTGAGGTAGGTACGGATACTGTGATGACTGAGGTGGTGAGAAGAGTTGATCGACAAGCAGATGGCCGCGAGGGTATTAGTGATCCAGGGGAACGAAGCCCAGGGCCCTGACTGTCATTGCCTGTTCCGAGGTTTAGCGGATACCTGCTTAGGTAGCGAATGGGGGGGTCTACGTTGCTAGGCTCATGCCTGGAACGCTAGTTCAGGGACCACAAGGGTGGCTTTGCACACTCTTTCCACGCTTCACCATCTCTGGTCTACCGTATCTCACAAGTCTGCCTTCTGTAGCCACCGTTGAGAGTATACTAAGTGATGGCGTAGAGTATACTCTCGACTATGCAAGGGGCAAACACGAGGTGATATTCTTCAAGAGCTTGGCCTCATTAGACCGAAAATGAAAAGAAAGGCGGTTGAAGGAGAGGATGGGGGCCAAGAAGGTCACATTGGAGGCTAAGGCCAAAGGCAGAACCACTAGATGCTTCTGTCACCGAGTCCAGACCATGGGCAACATTTGATACCTACCTACGTAGTACTTACCCTCCGCTGCTACCTACTCTCTTCCTGTCCAGACTCGACTCACACAAGCAGCTGAAAGCATGAAAGGACAACCGGCGTGCGCGCGCAGCGCGAGACACGGCAGCGGCAATCGAGAGACATTCCTTGATGGGGACGTGAGGGTCTTAGTGCATATGTCATTGCTTCTTCCCGCCCTCTGAGATCTCGGTTCCAGGAAAAAGAAAGCGAGACAAAAAGTCGGTATGAAACACGTCAGTTATCCGTCAGCCCGGTTCAGCAGCTTTTGAGGAATGGAGGGGAACGGATACACCCAGTCTTCTCTTCGCAGGAACGTAGTGGTTAAAGCAATCTCAACGGGAAGTCCAGCCCATAGCAGTGTCACGGTACGGATATGTTCGATAGGATCGTTGGATCAGGTGGTGTCTGGCTAGGTACCTTATGTACCTTGCCTGGTTGTGAACGGGTGATGACAGGCAGTGTAGATTGGATATCCCACATCCCAAACACCAGCCTTACGGCAATACTTGGTACCGTACGCTGGGTAACGTAAACAAAGGCACGTTGCTAGGTATGGTAATATGTTTTCAATATCCGTCACCTGTTAAGGTAAGGTAAGTTGAGGTAAGGTAGTGGTATACCTGGCAAAGCACTTCGTCTGGTCAGAACTTGAGCTCTCAAAGTGTTGTGCTCCGGTTCACAGCAGAACAGGCGTCCCGTCTCCCAATCCCGACCGAATTAGATGCAATTGAGCACAGCGTCCCATTGGGCCCAGTGTTTGTTGTGGTCTTGCGGCTTGCACTTCAGGTTCCCTGTGCATGCTACGTAGCTGCATTGCGACCTTTCAGTGTCCCAAGAGTGCCAGGCTTGCCAGGGCCCTCCCACGCTTGTAAGCCTCCTCTAGTGACCATCCCGCAGAAGCATGCTACTGCGGTAAGGTATCCTTCCCCCTCCCCCTGTCCTTCGCGCCTTCTCAAGTTTGGCTGCCCTTTTCTGCCACCCCAGGCTCGCAGTCCCCCCCCCCCCCCGTGTGCACTTGCACCCGCCCGCAACTGGTGTAAGGTAGGTGCCCCTGTACCTCAGAGTGTTCCTTCCCAATTGACTGTCCGCCCGTCTACCGCCTCCCCCGTGTCGGTCTCCACTCCTTCCTTTTCCCACACCACACCACCCGGCACCTGCACACCACAGGCAGTGGCCACACACCACCTCCTTCCTCCTTGAACGGGTAGCGCCAACACACTGCAGTAGCGAATGAAGGCGCCCAAAGGTTGGTGCTTGCCCTCTTTCTCTCTCGCGTCGAGCCCGATCACCATATTAGCTTCCCATTCTGTCCCAAACCGTGCCATGGCTGTTGTTGTTCGTTGTCCCGTTGCGCTGACTTTCACTGGACTTTTTTGCCTGAGCCCACGCTGCCTTTCACTCTTCACACACGCACACAAAAGTACGAAGTGAGGTACCCGCCATATCTTTGCATTTAGAAATACACACCTACGTAAAAACGGGAAACCGAACGACGCGGCCAGAAGAAGAATAGAAAATCCCGTCCGCGCGTGGCTTCTCGGTACCTGACCAAACCAAACCAAACCATACCAGACCTGACCTGACTTGACCTGCTGCGCCTGATTATTTGTTTCCCATCTTCTTTGCCTTTATTCTCCTCCATCTCCTCCATCCAACGACTCGACTCTTGTTTGGTCGTTTGTTGTCTGTCGTCGGGAAAATCTCCTTTCTTGTTTTCCTTTTCCTTTCTTTTTCTTGGAGGCTCTGCGTCTGTTCTTCTGTCACCACCGAAAAAACGAAGAGGGGGAAAAGGTTTATGCCGAGCGAGCAGACAAGAGCAGAAGAAAAAAAAAATACACCATCGCCCTCTCTCGTTCGTTGTTGTTATCTTTGTCCGACACGACCAACCTACTACCTAAACCTGGGCGAAATCTGATCAGACACCAATCTTGACCTGGCTGACGCCTCTCCTCACTCGTCAACTTTCACTTCCGCCTCTCGACACCCAAAGCCAAACCCTCCCAAGATCCACTCCTTTGGCGGCTTCCTCTTCTTGTTGTTGATTCACCCATCGACTTGTGGCCCGCTTGTCTGCCCTACCTTAACCTCACATCGCGGCTCCTGTTCTCAACATCCCATCACAACTACGCCTACCTACCGCCATCAATATCATCTTGGCCTCGCACTCCGCGACGCTTTCGCCCTTCTACGATCCGGGTTCGATCCTTTACCTCCGGCTTCCCTGCCTGACCTGCCCCTTTTGCTCCGCTGCTTAGGCGCTTTAGCTGTCGCTGGTCGAGAAGCAGTCGCATTTTTCCCTGGTTCGTGCGTTCACCGCCTTCTGTTCCCCCTCCTCTTCTCCAGTCTTGGATGGAGACCTCGACAGGATCCCATAGCTAAACGAGCCCGATTCCCTCCAGGTCGTCGCCTGAGACTTTTCCATCAGAACCTCCCGGATCCTGGCACCCCTGCCCTGTCCACCCACCGCACCGCACCGAAGTTCAACTTGTACCACAAAGTACACCCCCAGTCCTGACCGACCACTCAACGACCCAAAGGACCCCGAGACCCTCTCGCGATTAAAAAGCCCGGGCCAGCCCCCCGTGCGAGAGCAACGAGACGTTGGGAAAAAATATCCTCGCCGGCCAGACATATCGCCAAATCGCCAATCCGGCTGGTCACCAGCAAGTGACATGTCATGGACAGCTCCTCGACGCCGCTCGCCGACTACTTCTGGATCGCCGGCGTAGAGTCCGTCTCTTATCAGGACTCTACCCCGCAGCCCCCCTCCAACAACGTCGAGTCCACCATCGCCGAGGACAGCGAGTATGAGGAAAGCGATAACGAGTTCAACGCCACCCCGAGCAAGCGCGTCGCTCGCCATTCCAGCGTCGGTCGCCATTCCAGGCAGAACTCGGGTGGTGGTGGTGGCCGCGCCCCCAGTCGCTTTTCCATCCAGACTGTCGAAGAAGTAGACGGGAACACGCGAAGCAACCGGAGCAGCGCTACCATTCGACCCTCCCAGGCGAGCCAGATCAATGGCTCCGGCAGCGGTGCCGGCCTCAATGTCTTCAATGGCCTCCCCCCTGGCCTCAATGGCGAAGGACCTTTTATCGAAGGCTTCGACTTTGACAAGGCCTTGCTCAAGTTCGCCTCCGAACGAGAGAACTTCTTGGAAGACTTGTCCTTCAGTGCCGGTGCCAAAACACAAGCCCGCCCTCCCATGGTCAACCCCAGAGCTGAGCGCATCAAGGCTGACGAGGGCGACGCGAGCGGCCGGAGAAGTCCCCTACGCAGCATCGAGCGGAGCATCAAGGGCAGCATCCGCCGCAAGATGAGTTTCAGGGACATGAACAGCATGCGCAAGCAACCCACCACTCCTCGGGCGAGCACGCCAGGAGCCGGTACGATACCCCGCCAAGGTCCACCCTCCTCTGTAGCGCAATCCTCAAGTCCTTTCCGGTCAACTAACACGCTGGCTCCAGCTTCAATTAGGACTGCCAAGCGACTCAGCAACTACAACTCGGTGATTCCTCCTCCGGAGCCCCTGAACACGGATCCAGACATGCATCCCCTCAAGAGACGATTCGAGCCTGTCTTGTTGGACAGGTACCCAGCCAAAGACGCGACAGACGAGATCGCCCGTCGTGGGAGATTCCCAGACTACGTTCCCATGTTTGCCTTCCCGAACGATATCCAGATCGTGTCTTCCGATGACAGGCCACGTTCCACCTGGCATGGTTTTACAATGACTTCGGACGATAACTCCAAGATATATGGTATCACCATCATCATCTGGACCGCCCTGACATCCGAGGTTGCAGACGAGGTGGAGAAAAGATGTGAGCAGTGGCGGCAGAGCCACATGTCCAACGAGGAGCGGGAATTGGCGGCTAGTCTGGGAGTGCGACTTGCGGCTGAGCGTGCGCATCTCTCCCAGTTGCTTGCGAAGCTCCCTACGATTCCCTCGGGGTCTTCCGCTCGTGATACTCTGGATGACCAGATTAGCGCTGTTGAGGAGAAGATTAGTCTCATGACAGAAATGCTGAGACCACTTCGGCACGGTGCCGCGTCCAAGATCGACGGCTTGACGGCTGGCGAGAGTGGACTGTGGGCCCCCAGAGCTTACGGCATCTTGGGAAGAGACGCCACGAGAATGTCGTTCTGGAAGGAATGGCTGCGAGCCATCGTTGTGCCTATGACCGACAGTGCAGTTCTTCGAGTGCCACCCAGCTCCCCCAAGGTTGGTCGTTGGCAGCCTCTTGAGCGTTACGTCGTCAATCTGTGCACCGAGGCATTTAGTCCGCTGGCTTCCAAGACCCAGGTCGAGCTAGGCGTGCGAGAGTTGCGGCTATATTGTCGAAAGGAAGCCATCAACGAGATTCCAGGGGCCCGGACCATTGACATCTACGCCCTATTCAGATGTTTGTCCATGGAGAACATTGTTGCTTTGTTCGAGTACGCAATGTCAGAGTCTCGCATTATCTTCCTTTCCTCACACACTGGTATGCTTCACCTGGCATGCCACGCACTGGTCAATTTGTTGTATCCCCTGAAGTGGGCGAGCATCTTTATTCCTGTGCTCCCTGCGCGTCTGATTTCGGCACTCGAAGCACCTTGCCCTTACATCGTCGGCATCGAGCGGCGATATGAGAAGATTGAGCTTCCGGAAGACGACTACGTACTGGTTGATTTGGACCTTGATACGATCGACGCCACTAACCAGCCCGTTCGACTTCCACGACAGCATCGTCGCAAGCTCATTTCTTTACTTCATGTGGCCGCGCCGCATCACATTCGGTATGGAGTGACTACTGGACCCCCGCCATATGCAATGGAGTCGTACCCGTATGACGCCTTTTCAGTCGAGAACGATACTCTGTACAACGCCAGTGTCGCCTCGAGCTCCTTAGGCAAGTGGGTTACACAGAACTCTTCATCTTTCGGAGAGCCGGCCCCTCCGAACTCGGTGCGACCACCAATCTTCAATGCTTTCTTGCATTCGAAGGCTGGCGATCACAGCAAGGACCGGCCTACTACCAGCAAGTCCGGTAAAACCAGCCCACAATCTTCCATCTCACCCGTCTCGATGAACTTCCCCCCGATGCCGACCACACCTGTGTCACGCAGCGATTCCGGCTTTGCACAGACTTTGAGAGAAAAGAAGTCGGGCCACTTTGATGAGAAGTCTCGCCGCAGCTCGTCCTTTGGCATGGACAAGCAACCTCCTCTCCACCGACCAAGCTTGCCCTTCCTTAACGGACACAATCCAAGCATGTCGGTATCGGCAATCTCGGTCGATTCGCAGTCTTCGTACAATGGGTACACGCCCGGATATGCACCTTCCACGTATGCCCAGTCCACCCTGGCGGCATCAACCATCATGCCCAACATGCTGATTCAGCCCGTACGGAACACCGACACAATGGTGTGGGTCGAGGGCCATTGCTTCAACTGGATGGCCCATGACTTGTCCTCGACATGTTCCGTCTGCGACGACAAGTCAGAAGGAGACGGCATCTACGAGTGTTCTCACTGCAATGCCCGCTCTCACAACCGCTGCCTGGGACAGGTCTCCGTGGTGTGCAGCGAAGCATTCCACCCTGACCGAGTTCGAGCTGCTTTCGTTCGATGCCTCGCTAGTCTCTTGTACACGTACAGAAAGCATCTAGGCCGTCCCACTCGTGAGCAAAAGAACAATGGCCAACTCTACAATTTCGACATGAACAGCTTCATTAAGAGTCTCCCGTACGACCAACAAGAGTACGCCACAATGTTGAGAGAAACTCAAGGTAAGATAACGGCTCCTCGGAATGACGTTCCTTGGCAATGCTAACAAATCATCAGCTTTCAACGAGTTCATTCACGAGCGGGAGACACACTCGGCGACGCACGCGTCGATCCGTCTCTTTGACGAGATCATCATGGCCAAGAAGGCTCGCGGACGGCCGGGACTCTCAACGGGATTCTCTCGTCTTTCGACCATCCGTATGTCGCACGGTGCGTCAAGCAACGCTTCAGGGTTCGCTGCGCCATCAAAGCTCAAGATTCCTACGTATCTGGGCGATACTTCGGACCACATGTGGCGGACGGCTTCGGTGCCTGCTCCCAGTGCCAAGTTCCCGGGCGAGTACCGAACCGTCGTCACCCGGATTCCTACCAAGCTGGACCCCAGTCTGATGAGAGAGCCTCGAGCGATCCAGGGTGTCCCTCGGGCCGAGCAACGGGCACACGGGTTCATCAGGAAGCAAGTACCCAGCATGGTTGGTAGTCCACCAAACTGAATGAATGTCGACGATGACGTTTGCCGGCGATTTGTCGGTCATGATTCGACGACCATCTCGACTTTCTGCCTCTCTGCGCTGTACGATAGGGAGAATGTATGTTTAATAAACGGCAGGGGGCAGAATTGTATAAAATCATTTCGAGCATAAGGGGGGAGTCTGGGGTTTAAAGAGGGCTAGGGGGTTCCTCATCAAGAAGTCGTTCTTCATTTTTTTTGCGAGTCTTTCAATTTCCAGCTGCGAGCCAGAACTTGGATTCTATTGCCATTTCCGGATAACTGCGTTGCTGTCGAGCAGGAAGTGCAAACTAGCAAGCAAAAGAAGCGGATAGAGAGGGAGGGAGACACAGAGGGAGAGAGCATTGGCGGATGGGATGGGGCTGTTCGCAATCGCGATACAACTGTCCCTCTTTGGTCGTTTTTAATTGCGCACATACTAGACTAAGAAGACATGGAGGAAACGACGAATATACTAGGCCCCAAGGTCTTGATGATTCTTCAACTTTATCTGCATCGTGACTTTGACTTGAAGTGGTTGATGAAAGTTTACGATGTAAGCGAGGCTAAGTGATTGTCGGATCATAGAACTTCTCGTCACGAGGATCTTTGCGCCATGATTCACTGAATGTGGTGGATATGGATTTCTATTCAAATGTGGAAAAAACAGACCATGCCGATTCTTCTGGTGTAGTAAGTCCTCTGTTACAACCTCTCTTCCGCTCCGCCCGCCTATCCCCGGCGCATCCGTGTAGGCATACCATGATTTCGGCAACTTTCCTTCCAGGGGAATTTCTCATCCTGACTAGCCACATTTCGACCCATTCGTCGTGCTGGATCTCAACGATGCCGAGTAAAACTCTCTTCCTCTGACCTCACCTCCGCCATGAAACAAAACTTAGGCAAACTCATCCTCGGGCTCCTCAATCGCGTTCTTCACCCGCACGAGCATCGTCGTCTTCCACTTGTCGAGCTTGCTAACCTGATCGTACTGGAACAGCTTATCCGTGAACTCCTCCTGGTTGCCGCTCTCGACGGCGGCAAGCAGGTCGTTGAGCAGCATGGACTCGCGCTGGTTGGCGAACCCGGGGTCCATGTCGGCGTACTTTTCGACGGCGCGGCGGGCGGCCACCATGTCGCCCGTCGCGAGGTGGCAGATGCCGGCGCGGAGGAAGTAGTCCTTTACGCTGTACTTCATCAGGTTGTTGTTGATGGAGACGGCGGCCACCTTTTCGTAGTTTTCAATGGCCTTGTAGTAATCGCCCTCGAGGGAGGCCACGTCTGCTACCTTGAGCCAGAGCTTGTTGGCGAGGCTGGTTATTTAAGTAATGTTAGCAAAGTCGTTTTCTTGGCTAGAACTGACGCGGGTTCCACCTACGCAGCAGCATTGTCGCCTTCGTACCACCCCGCCGCAGCCTCGTAGCTCTCGAGAGCGCGCTTCGAGTCGCCGAGCTCTGTCTCGAACAGCTCGCCGAGCGCCTCCTTGTGACCCGCCGCGCGGCGGAAGTTGCCCTTGGAGCAGTACTGCGTGACGGCGACCTCGAGGCAGCGGACGGCGGCCTCGGGATCGTCCTTGCGGTAGGCCTTGAAGGCGTCGACGAGGGTGTTTGCGGCATCGTCGGGCTCCTTGAGGTTGGTGGTCTGTACTTGGGCCGCTTTTTCAAAGGCCTGGCCTGCTTCACGGTCTGTAGGGATGGGCGAGATGTCAGTCTTGCTTGTTTCATGGAAAGCGGCAAAGAAAAATGGTACTCGTAGAAGGGAGATGGGGAACGACTGACTGAGCTTCTGCATCTTAAAGGCGTTGGCTGCCTGCATGTACAGGTCCGCGGCATTCTGGTACTTTTCCTCCCGGCCGCCGAAGAAGCTGAAGCCGCCGCCGGCGCTCGAGAGCGTCTTGTCTGCCTGCGCGATCACGAATTTTAGCGATCGTGTGTTCACCATACCGACAACAACCAGGATGGATATGCATCGCGGGGTCGCTTCGGCGGTACATCTCTTCCCCGCCGTCTGCACCGTGAACAGTACAGCTCCGCGGTTGAAAGAAAAGTCCAACATCAACGCACCTTTTGCAGCAGAGCACGAGGGTCCTGAGCCATGGTTTCGGAATTAAGCAAGTACTAGGCTACGATTATGGGGTGGGTAATATGTATGTCTCTCGATCGATAAGTGTCGGGTCTCGATGGCTTGCAGTGTGCCGTCGTATACGTGCGTTCGTCGGGTGGTTTATCGCAAACCTCTCTTTATACTAGGTGTCTCGAGAGGACAGTTCGCGGGTTGTAGGAAGAGAAAGGAAGGGTGTGTGTTGCTTGATTCGTTGTTCAGGATGTGAAAGGTGGCAGTGGTGGTGGTTGCTGGCTGGCATCAGCGCTTCGAAACTGTAGCAGCGCGACACACCCCCAACCCGCCCATTTCGGCTGGCCCTGCGTTTTGGGCTGGCTTCTTCGGCGGTGTTCGGTGGCACCAGTAGCCAGCCCAGCCAGCTATGACGCGCGGGGTGAGTCGCTGTGGCTTAGCGGAAACCAAGGTGAGGGTGGCTTACGTTTGCTTGCGAATCCCCTTGTCAGTGTAGCTGTTGCAGGCTGCTGTGGTGGGGTTCTGTTGGAGTCGTGTCCAGACACTCTTATTCGTCGAGACTGCGACTTGCCTTTCCCCTAGTCCCTTGGCTGCTGGAGAAGTAACACCAGGGTTCAAGCTGTAGGTTCTAAAGTAGGTCGGCTTCTAGGTAATCCAATTTAAACAACACCAACCTATGATCGCGACTTGAGACCCGTCTCAACAAGTAACATTCATAGCCCTAGACCATTGATAACGGTCATGGCCACGATGCGTCCACTCTGCAGGCGCTGCAGCGCGCTCCTCCCCCCGACCCGTACATTCACATCCTCCTCCGTTCGCCTCTCAACTCCGAAATCAGCATCGACAATTCTCTCGAAACCCACATGGTCTGTCGCGTCTCTCCTCCCATCCTCCTCCAAGAGCGGCGCCGCGAAGGAGTCAACAGAGGAACCAATCTCCCGCGCAAAGCTACACCACCTCCTTCGCCTCTCCGCCCTCCCGCTCCCCGAATCCGAGGCGGAGGAGACCGCGATGTTGCGCACACTGCACTCTCAACTACATTTCGTGCGCGATGTTCAGAGCGTAGATACCACTGGAGTTGAACCACTTCGTTCATTACGCGACGAAACAACAGAGGGCGTGGCAGAAGCCACAATTGGCTTGCAAGAGCTACAGAATGCCCTGGGCAAGGAAATCCGCTTTGGTCACAAGAAACGACCAAAACGATTGCGCGGGGAAAAGGTTGAAACCTCAGGAGTTGAGGACTGGAATCCTCTAGAGACCGCGTCGAGGACGGCTGGAAAATACTTTGTCGTTCAGAGCAGCAGAAAGGAGGAAGCATGATACCCATTAAGTAGGATACCCGGTGAGACATTCCATTGATAAACATGTTCGTTTTCCCATTGATCGTATCTCGTCGTGTTACAAATGTGTGTGCCCGTTTTCCCGGTGTCATAGCTAACAATACTGCAATAGTCCATCCATCCATACTTCACGCCGTTTACCACGTCCAATAACAATGGCTCATGTCTAACCATATCTCTACCGATCACCGCAGCTAAGATGCTCTCCGTAGCCTAATCCTGGATCTTCATCTTGCTCATTTTCGAATCGAGCTTGGCGTCGTTCTTGTGCTGCACCTCCTCCTGAATGTGCTCAGCTTCCTTGTCCATGTCGACGTAAGTTGGCTTCTGGCTCTTGTCGCGGCCGTATTTCTCATCCATGAGACTGAGGACTTGCTCGTCCTTTTCGATCTGCGCGTAGTCGAGATCCTCCCAGCCAATGTTCTTGAGGATGGTACCAATCATGTATTGGTATCTCAGGTGGCCGCTAACCATGCTGCTCACGTCGTAGTTCTCTACGCCTTCGGCGCCCTGGATTGGCTGCAAGCCAGCAACGCCGAATTGAAGGTTGGACGTACGGTACAGGAAGCCCAGAATATAATCGTTCTCCGAGTAGACGTTGACAAGTCTGCCCGCAACAACGCTCTTCAAAGCAAGCCAAACTCGGCTTTCGGATGGCGCCGGGGTGCCAATCATGACCACAGACTCAATGAGGCCGAATTGGCGGCGTTCGGCAAGGACCATCAAGCAGGTGTAGATGGCTCGGGCAGCCAAGCTGTAGCCAATCAAGCTGACAGGTCGATCGCCCTGCACTTTGCGACTGATGGCCTCCGCTAGGATCATGCCAACCTTCTCGGCTCGGACCATTCCGACACTCCAAGGATTGTCAATGACCTTGCTGACCTTGAGAAGGCCAATGGGCCACATGGCCGACATGAGGCTGGCAAAGACTTGTAATGATTAGCAATGTGGTTTTGCGCAACGTGGCGAGAGACTTACTGGTCCGCGTGATGATTTCCTTCTTGGCAACACTCCAGGCGGTACTCTTGATGACAGTCTCGAGCGAGTTACCCATATTCATCAGGTTGGCAACTTCCCATCGCACAGCGTACACCTCACCTTGGTGGCCGATGCAACGCCAGGGGTTGACCACATCTTCCTTCTGAGTCAGCCAACCACTGAGGGCAAGGACAACTCGAAGGCGACGATCCTTGGACGGGATTTCTTTGGCGTCGCGATACTCATCTCGCATTTCGCCGTGTAGAGGTAGAAACGCAAAGTCGGCAACATCTCTAGCGTACTGATCCATCATCTTGGATGTCTGGCGAGCACCGTAAATGCCGAACAAGCTGCCAACGACAACGCCACTCTGGGCTAGGGTGCCGAGCAATCCAGCTGCCGCCGTGGAACCAAGTCCAACACCGCCCATAACGGTGCCAATGCCAGCAGCGACTAGGGGAGCCGCAAGACCTCCAGTGACACCAATGATGGCAGCACCGGCGGCGCCAGCAAGTCCAACCTTCCAGCGTCTGGTCGATTTGTTCTCCGCAGACTTGTCCTCCACTACCTCATCAGCGTTGACCTCCTGTACAGTCTTGCCGAGACCTCTGGCAACCCGAACCTCATCCTCTTGAAAGAAGCGGAGAGTTAGGTGAAGCGATGACGCCAACTTGAGCATGAAGACGCGAGAGAAGGCCGTGTACTGCTCCAGTGACAGGAGAAGCAGCAGAATTGTGTGAAGCAGCAACTTCCGGCGCTCGATTGGTAGGGCGGTCAGTGGTGTGGCACTCGGAGGGAATCGTCTGATGAGCCAGAGGTCGGTCTCGGGTTGACGGGTAGCCGGCGGGCCTGTTCAAGTCAGCATATAAGCTCGGGATTATGGGGTGGGCAGCCTCCAACGTACCACCTGTCTTGACGCTGAGGGCGCCGCCTCTACTACCACGGCCGCGCGGGGCAGTGCCTCGACCTCCCTGAGGTGCACCACGATCACCGCGACCGCCGCGGGCTCCACGAACAGCACCCCGACCTCCACGACCGGCTGGGGCGGCTGAAGCTTCGGAATCCTTGACCGAAATGTCCTTGGCGCGCGTCAGGACATTGCCCTGCCACTTCCTGAAGACGACAAGACACTCCTTCTTGAGCTCCTGAAGCTGAGGCGTCATGGCCTCTTTCTCTTCCTTCTCGACTATCTCATGGGCTTTGTTGTACGTCAACCCACTCTTCTGCTGGTTCGAAGTCGAAGCAGAGCCGGCATTCTCCTTGTTGGCGCTGCTCTCAGATTGAGGGGTGGCAGGCTTGCTGGTCACCTTGTTCTTCAGCAGCGAGAGGGATAGCCACGAGTGCTGGGGGTCCTCGGTCGTAGCGGGAGTGATGGGAGGAGAGTGAAAGATGTTGCTTATCTGGTCCTGCATACTGTCCAAGATGTTGCTGACCAGATTGATGAGCTCGTTCTTCTCCTCGAGAGTGAGGACGCCGGTAAGATCGGTCTGAGTACGACGGCGCTGGCCGTGAGGGCGTCTTGAGCCGGCCATTTTGTCGAGGTCGTCTGGGTCTCGTTCCCAGTTACCGTCTTCTTCTTCTTCAAAGGAGCAAATAGAAGATGCGTCCAAATTCTCCTCGTCAGAGTAGGCGTAGTTGTATTGGTCCTCGTCGTTTTCTGAGGGTAAAGTGTTGATGTTGGGATCAGGATTGAAAGTCGGATCAGGTGCAGCAGCAGGGTGAGAGCTGGCAGGAGGGGTTTCTGTGTTTGTACTCCTTGGGTGGTTGTGAGGTGGTACGTCCATCGCTGCCTCCTGCACGACCGCATCCTGCCCCACGGCGGGTGCTGCCGGGGAAGGCGAAGAGCCAGGCGCGGTTTCCATACTGGGCAATATTTCGAGGAGCCAACTGCCACCCTGGAATTAGGCGAAGGCGGGAAAGGGGCACGGTGAATACAAGGTGGAAAGCTACAAAGAAATCACGGGCTATGATCAGACACCAAGCAAGCGGACGGTGAATATGTCGGTCAGCCTTTCTGTAAGTCTGCCTCTCTGTCTGTATCTCGTGTCTACCTCAGACACACAAACACAGAACGAGAAGAAGAGAGGGCAAAGATGAAACGGAAAGTTGGTGAAGCAAACACAAGCAACGGCAGCATCGTGTGAGGGAAACCGGGGAGGTGAGCTCTGTTTGTAGTCGCGCGGGAAGCTGCGTCCATCTCAGACCCCTGACGTCAGCTGTCAGGTCGCACCCAGTGATGCACCACCGCATCACTGGCGCACTGCAGGGGTCACAGACGCTGCTTCCGGGGTAGGAACCGATCTTATCGATAGAAAACCGCTTGGGGGAGGGTCACCGCGCCGGCTGGTCTGATTGGCAGCTGCCGCGGCGCCTGCAACGTCTCCAGCGTCCTTCCCGTGCGGCCGCCCCTCCCAAGCCTCCCTCCCGGACGCTTGCAGTTGCGCTAATGCACGGTTTTTCGGCCCTCTTTCTGGAAGCTGGCAAGTTGGAGCTCTGGAGCTCCTACCCTGGCGTGCCTGGCACTTGGCTCCCGATGGCCACCAAAGAAATAGCCCAGACCCGATCCAGTGGATGGCTGCCGTCCCGTTTGTCTTCGCCCCTGCTGATCCGCTGTCAACTCTATTTCCGTCCGAAGGTGCGGGTGATATTTTCAGTCATATTGCCTCTTCAGTCGGTTTATTCGTGTTGAAATGCAAAACCACATGTCTCTCGCTTGCGGTAGGACGTTTCTCCAGCCATCCGACCTCCGATTGAGCGGGCTGTCACCTGACACAATCAGAAGAGACAATAACATATCTCCAAAAACTTACGAACGCCATGATCATCAGGGTTCTTCTCACTTGCAAACTGACTTGCATGTCGTCGAACGATTTGTACCTTTGATATTATAGGCTATTATGATAACACCGTGCCTGCTTTCCCCTTGTAGCTTTTCGCATACCTGTGTTTGAGAACCAGTAGCATGACTTCCGGTTTTTCTTACCTGCTTCTCAAGACTCTTGAGTTTCAATTACGATATTTGGAGGTTGAGGTACAAGCAGATCTAAAGACGGTTCTGTTAGTTGTGAAACCCAGTCCTCGAGGTAAATATAGTATCTCCCATAGACCTTCCCACAAGATCGCCAATTGGAAGCCCAAAAGGTTCATGCAGAAGTTCTCGACGTTCAACTTTCCTCTGTCACTCTACCCTCAAGGTAGTCCACCTCCATTAATGGGTGATGAAACTTAACATAGCCATCAGGGCACTTACCCGAGGGTCTTCATGATCTTGGAGACAGCGGAGATAGAATGGTTTATGGCCCTTCGAGCACCTTGATGTTTCTCAAATTCCTATAAGATGCTCTCATTTCCCCTTACAATTTCTCTTCTCTTCTCTTCTCTCTCCTCAGACACAGTCTCATCCTCCTTCCATCCCTCCAAGGCAACAGGAGCCCTCTATGGATTCCCAAGCCCCCAACACCGATTCAGCTTGAACCATACGGACAACGCAGCATATCAAGCCCTAAACAGGCCACTGATATCATATCTGCTTGGTTACACACATACCTTCTGCTCACATAAGACCGGGGCATGCCAGATAGCACAAATGGCACCCCCTTGTGTACCCATCACCCCTGTCGCGCCTAGCTCTCCTCCTACAGCTCGAGGATCAACGACTCATGGATCACTGGAGTTCTCTCCCCATCGACCGCGGAGGTCTCCAACATATCCACCACCGTTTCCGAGATGGCCCATCTCTCGGTAGCCTTGAGCCATAGGGAAGGGGCCGCGACAGTCTCGAATGCACCCAACACCACCGACCTACCCCACGCCTCGCATAAGACAGCCTGCAATGAGCAGGAGATTACGCAGGCCTATCCGAGGGTTTAGCACCTCAGCCTTCTCCTCGTATAAGACAGCCAGTAACAAGCTGGAGATTGTATAGGTTTAGACGGAGATCTAGCCCTCCCCGTTACGACATGCCTCGCATAAGACAGCCAGCATTCAGCTGGAGATTATGCAGGTCTAGAGGATGATCCAACCCTCCCGGGAATATACACGACAAAGTGTAAATAGTGCTGGCACTATTACCCAAAGAGTCGACTAAGCGACAGAGGGAGACGATCCAGAGACCTTTAAGGCCTGTGGTCATATTTCAAGCAACACCACAGTGGCTTCCGAGGGAATCAACCACACTTCGGTTGAGGCAGAGCACTCCCCAGTGCTTCGTGCACGACCGCAAGGCGTTGAAATGGAGGGCGGCTTCTACAAGCGCCATGATCTCCATGCTTCAACACGACGTTTCCTCGGAGAGGACTCAACGGGACAGATCTTACTTCTCATCAGAGCTGACGAAGATTCTGTCCATCCTCATCACATCCCACATCACCCTCTCCAGCCCACACAAACCCCCAGTCAATCGGCCGGCCAGTCAAACGACCACATCGACGAGCCCCAACTCCAGCAATGCCCATCGACAAGTCTGCCCACGGGCGACATACACACGATGCGTACCACTCCGCCCAACCCGATGGGCCTGGCCCTACCTCCCAGGTTCTACGCCCTCGATCTGGCCTGCCGCCACCTGGGCAGAAAGGTCGTTGCCCTGGGCCTACACCACATCCTCAGGGGCGCGTCCTACTCCACGGCGCCCTACTTCCCCTCTCTGCGACCCGTGGAGAGACGGACCGTAAGGGAATATATAAGGGGTCTCCTGACTCTCGACGAGAAGGAGTATGTGATGCGGGATCTGGCCGCCCACGCGAGCTAGCACCAGGAGGTCTTGTGTGCGTTGGAGTGGGTGAATCTCGCCCTCTAGACGGCTGGAACTTGGAAAGACTTTATGAGACGGAAGATCGGAAGTTTTGGTTAGTAGTTAGGTATGGAGCGCAATATACCCAGCTTTCCACTATACAATACTCACTACATAGTGTGATCCCGGCGGATAGCTCTGCCGAGGGTGTTCTGTCCCTTTTACATTTGGCATTTCCTCCTTGATCGAGGACCTCAAACTGCACTGCACCGTTCACTTCCAGCCAGTGACATGTTTTGAAAGCTTTGGTCATGGAGGGGCCTTCACAGGTAGAGAAATGAAGTCTGTCTGTCTCGGAGACCGGTTCATCACACGCATATATCACGAGCGTAGTGTGCGAACATTGCAAGTTTGTATCCATGCGTACCTCAAGGCAGATTATCTGTGGTTCCCTCTACCCAATTAACGAAGTGAAATATTCCAGCCTCATGCCGAAAAAACAAAGAGAAAAGCGAGGGAGAAAAAAAAGATGGAAAAGAAGGTCGCTTGTGGGACTCGAATCCACAAACTACAGCTCGGTAGCTTTGCACTTCAGGATTAGGGGTATAACCATCTTAAGCTTCTGGGCAAGAGTCCCTTTTACTGCTGTTGAGAATTTCCAAGGTGAATCAGTATGTAGTCTATGCTCTGCCATGTCCTGTGATACCTCAGGCTGCGGGTGACGAATACGCAAGTGAGGCATACTTGCCCTTCAGGTACGAGCCACACGAGGGTGAAGAATGCTGGGCACTGAACGGTACTAGACGCGCATAGGGCCAAAAAAGAAAAGTGATTCCGATGTTCTCAGCTGGCTTGAAGTAAAGTAAGGGCGCAGGGTGAGATGCCAAAGGAAAGTTATAAAAAAAGGAGTCATCAATGGTGAATCGAACAAAAGGTTAGGTTGAGTGAGGCCTCGGACTTATGGATTAATCTATGACTCCCTCCAAATACCCCTCGGCCACGTTCCCCTTGTGCCTCTTATGGTAGGACAGAAGGAGAAGTGACTCAAGTACCTACCTAGCGGTGCACCTCGCCTCTCCATCCCAAGGAGTATTCGAGGGCTCGGAAAGACCTTCACTTGCCCTGGGAGACTGGATTCAGAGAGTCGTCCAAAGGGGACCATTTCAGGTTTTTAGGGTGCAATCTCAGGTGACCTATTGTTTGGAACGCGTCGAGAGAAGGGCGCAGGACAAGGAGGAGGAACTTTCATACCACCTGCTGAATGCTAAATGCTTTCTTCCTCACAAACTTAGACACCCAAATAAATACAGCTTACAGGAGAGTGAAGTAGACATATACAAGTAGCGCACCTGGAGTAAACCATCGCACTTAGGGCTTGGTGATGAGTGTCCGCTACCAGACCGGAAGAAGTCAGGTCAGCAATATTCGTGATCAGTACGTCGCCTGAAATTCGGAAGCCGACCAAGATGGTCGTAATCATTCATCACCAGCGTGCCAACACGCCCGCCGCGTACAAACTCTGCCATCGCCGCTCGACGCACACCAAGAGGTCGCCATTCAAGATTTTACGGATGTGAGTACTTGAATATGATGTGATAGTGATCGAAGTCTTCATCGCGATCAGCAAGGAATGAGAAAGATTAATCGTATACCGGATGGAAAGTTGAGATCAATCGATCTTTCGCCATCGTGTGCTTGAAATTGATCACTTCATCAATCGTTTCCATACACGTAGTCGTATGATTCAAACACATCATTGCTCGAACAAGTATCCCTTAACCTGATATACATTACACCTTCCAAGTTTTTGTCAAGAAATAGATAGTGGTGTCATCACGCCAGCAGCATACAGCGGCCATCCTTCACAGATCTTTTAGGCCATTCCATGCTGCTGGTAGCAAGAGTCGTTTCCGACGCTCAAGCACCCCTCCAATGGCCCTCATTAGACACGAGCAGTTGGATTGTGCTGCTTCTCTTCCTTAAACGAGTCCCGATGGTAGTTAACCCCTCCAGCATGCGGCACAGCAGGCGGACTAACATCTTGTCTGAAGACATACCTCTTCCAAAAGTAGAAGAACTGCGCGAGCCCGTATCGAGCGAATGTTCGCGAGGGAACGCTGAACACGGCGTCCAGCTCCTCGAGGGTCTTCTCCTTAGTCTCCGGGACGAGGAACAACACCAGGAAGAAGCCGATGATGTTCCAACCGCCATACCACCCAAAGGCGCCCGTCGGCGTAAAGGCCGCCTGAAGAGAAGGCCAGGTGACGGCAAGGAGGAAGTTGAAGAACCACGTCGTGGCCGTCGCCAGAGACATGCCGATGGGCCGGATGTACAGCGGGTATGCCTCGGCCGAGTAAGTGAAAGGTACTGGTCCCTCGCCAGGGGAATAGACCATGCCGAAGAGATAGATACCCAGGGCGATGCAGGCGATCTTGGCGGGGTTTGTAGGTATATAGAATGAGAATCCAGTAAAAAAGAGACAGATGGCCATCAATGGGAAGGTTGTCAAGAGTAAGTTGCGCCGTCCGAAAGTATCAATCGTGTAGAAAGCCGGAAGAGCGAAGAGCCAGTTGATGATGCCAAAGCCAAGAGACGCCGACAAGGCACTTACTTCGCTGAACTCGGCCGCCAGGAAGATCTCAGAGCTGTAATAAGCTGCTTATGATTAGCACAGTGTTTTAGATACTCTGGATTAGAACAATCATCGGGTCTGAGGCATCTTGTCCATCACCGTCCAATATGCAATACACAACCGTTTGAAACGGTTCAATATATACATACACCATACTGATGTATACAGATATACCGTACAAATATAAAGAAATACCGCATAAGACCTCGTTACATAGATAAAACTCACCTATAACGTTCACGCCGCAAAATTGTTGCATAAACATAACAACCTCACTCGCAATCATACCGTTTCTATTACGGCGTACCGTAATAAACTCTAGGAAACGGTTGTGTTTACCGATGCCTTGTGTCTCCTTCTCGGCTTGTAGAAGGGCATTGGCATAGAAGAGATCGCGGGCAGCCTGCACCTTCTTGAAGCGTAACTGGCACATGGATTTGTAGGCGTCGGAGTGGCGGTTCTTGGTCAGGTACCATCTAGGGGACTCGGGACACATGTAGCAGCATGCGCAAACAAAAACAGCAGGTAGCATGGCGCTGCCCATCATCAGCCTCCAGTTGAGGCCGACAATACCACCTCTGTCAGGCACGTAGTAGAAAGCCAAGTCGGCAACGTATCCCATCATAATGCCAAAGGCTGTCCACAGTTGCCATTGCATGACGAGGGCGCCACGCAGGCGAGGAGGCGCACATTCGGCGGCGAAGATGGGAGTAGTGGCAGACTTGGGGCCGATACCAAAACCGAGGAAGAAACGGGCGATGAACATGTGCCACCAAGTGTTGGTGAATGCCTGCCAGAAACAGGCGAGGGCAGAGATGAGACAGGAGATGAAAACGGTGCCACGACGACCAAACCGCTTGTTCATAGGTTCTGTAAGCCAGCACCCGATGATGGCGCAGCAGAGATATGGAGCAGAGTTTGTCAGGCCAAGGAGCCAGGTGTCTCGCTCAGTCTCTCCTCCGATGCCGAATTGCTTTTTGTAGAAGGACTGGGCGCCATTGACAACAGTCTCGTCCATACCCTGGACGACGGCGCAGAATGAACAAACTTGGGAAGGGTCAGCCTCTGTACGTAAAGAGGAAGACGGAGACGGAGAGAGGCTGGGGAGGTATGATCGAAGCAAGACAAAGAAAAGGCAGAAATATAAGAAAGAGTAAAGAGACTGGAAGACCGACCGGCAACAACGCCATAGAGCATCTTGGGGTTCCTCCACTTGTGAGTAGACTCGCCGTCAAGCACTGCTCGTTCATCGGCAGTGATCTCAGTCATACTATCGTACTTGTTCATATTTCCAGCGATCATGGCGCCGAGGCGAAAAGCCCGAATGTCTTCTTGGTCGGTAATGCCATGTTGTTGACAGTAGTCCTCGCCTTTTTGACTCAACTGTTCGGGCGTGAAGCCGGCAAGAGGGTTCTCCAGCTTGCGCGAAGCCTCTAGACGCTTTCTCTCTTCCTCATCAACCGCCGTGGCCTCGGACGGCCGTCCTGGATGGTCCAAGTGAGCGTAATCGGTCTCGGCATGGTCTGACAACGATTGGTCGCCAATCTTTTCTCGCTTCGGATCCGAAGCCATCTTGACGGTGACGACAATTGAGACTCAGCCTGGTAGAGAAGATAATTGTATGCCGGTATTTGGGGGGTGAACCCAGCTGGAAGTCTGGACACTGCCACGAGAGAGGAACGTCCTGGCAAAGGGGTGCAGGTGAGAAACTGTAGAAGAGATGGGTGGGTAGAATTGAATTCCAAGACAGCCAAGGTAGCCTCCCGGCTTGGGACAGCTTGGCTCCTTATGTACTGAGATAATCGCCAAGGAATGGAAATGAAGATAGGTAGCTTTGTTCAACGACGTAATCGGAGACTTCTCCGTCAAGCTTCACCTCGAACGACACCGCGAAGGTGGAAGGCTAGAGCGGTCGCACCTGTGGGTTGAATGAAGAGCGGGGATGGGCTTGAATGCGGGGGAGAAACCCGCTAGAAATGGTACAATGCCGAGAGTTGGGACAATAGGAAATGGAACTGAAGCGGCAGATCAACAAGTTCGTTCTCACTTACCGGCAGGCGTTGGAGGATCTTGGACGACGTCATGACGCTTCCCATGTCTGCGCTTGCAGACGGTGTGACAGGGAGGATAGCTTCATGTTCGGAGAAGGATCGTGTTGGCTGTTGGAGCGAAAGGAGGAGGTCGGTCCTCGTAAGGCAGGGTGTGGTGAGACCAATCTCACTTGGGTGTAGATCTCATGTTTGATTTCGAGTGGTGGCAGTCGTGCCAGGTAGGAAGGATTCGAAACCTGGATGTGGGGAGACAAGTTAGCACACGTTCTATCGGTCGGAAATCATCGCTGGAGGGTTCGCTCGAATGCGAAGAGGGTGGGATCGACCTCAGATCCGTCGAAGATGAGAGGTTGTGTTGGAGTACGCCGGCAAATTTGATTGCTTCCGCGCGAAGTCTGTAGTGAGAAGAACGAGAGAAGGTGGTTGAGATGACGTTGAATCTGCAGAAGTAAAATGGGTCCGCCGTAGTTTGTCAGGTAGAAGGAGGGAGAGTGTGCCCCTGTCAAGTGAACTAGTGCGGAAAGAACGCCTGGGTGTCCCTGCCTGTGATGTGATGTGAGATGGAGGTGAGGTGAACTCGGAGCTTGTGCCTGCCTTGATTGGATCTCGAATTTTGGCATCACGTGTCTAGGATGCCGTTCTACTCTTTCCCCAATCGCCAAGGATTTAGAGCATCGCCCAGTAAAGTCAAGATTCAGTGCCTGCGACCTAATGCTGTGCCTAGCAAGCGCTAAGCGATCCTGCCACGGCTGGATTTGTGCCGCATTTCTTGGCTCTCGATGGTCCTATTGACATCATTCCTCGGGTCTCACCACATCTTGTGCGATGTGCCTGTGAGTGAGGTGTCAGTTTGATATAGCTGCAGGGGGTTCTTGTGCATCCAAAATATCACAGCGATTCTCATCTTCGTTTTCCCATCGACACCATGGAGACATGTCGTCGGATTCGTTTCCTGGGCACGTGGAAGGAGCTTGCGTGCTTGCCTTAGTAAGGTAGGTACGCTTTTTAGAGTTGAGACTAGAAGGTCGCAGTGCCCATTAAACAAGGTTGGCGGGGCCCATTCTGACTTCAACGGCGCCGGTTTTCCAACGTTCGCCGTTGGGCCCATCCGAAAATCAATGCACATACTCTGCGTGCCAAATGCAACTTGAATGCAAGAACACAGTCCAAATATGCTTGTATCGTGTGGTGGATACGTATGCGGCCACAAGTAAATCGCGTCGTTTTGTCTGCTGGAAGCCATGTACCATTTTCTAACTTACGTCATATCACAGGAGCCGCCTACAAGAGGTTGCATCTACGGCGGGTTCTCCGCTTTATCCCGTGCTCACCTCGCCGCGGAAGAGTACCTCCTAAGTCTGTGGGAATATTCTCACCATTTCCTGTTGTCATTTACATCTCTAATTCTAGTACGGATAGGTGCATGATTACTAAGGGACTGATATTTCTTCGGTTCTCCGAGAAAAGAAGTCGGCCGTTCGCATCGATCACGCTACGCAATGAGCATCTGTACCTTGCCAAAGAACCCTCTCTCCGCTGCTTCCATAGCCGAAAGGCAAATGTTTGCAAGAGCGCAACCGATGAGGATAGAGAGTTCCAGGATTCGTCTCGCCATAAACAACCGGATAAGTTGAGGACATAGATAACATTTAAACGTGTTGCTGGAAAAAGTCGTCTCTGATCCAAGCTTTCCGCAAAATCTTTCTTCCACTTTCAAATCTCGCCAATTGTCCGAGAATGTTAGCGACACAGCTCTGGCAACCAACTCGAGTCCAACGAAAAGTCAATTACATTGAACGCTGAAAGTATGTTCTCGCTATACGAAGACGATCAGCAGCCATTTATTAAGAGCAATTAGAAACAGCCCACGTGAGGATGAAGATGAGAATGAGCTGGTTCGGGAAAGGGGGTTTGCGTTCATGTGAAGGACTCTTACCTTCAGACTGTTTCGACAGTATCATAGTAGTCAACACACCTGTACCCGTCGTTACATCTCTACAACATCGCGATACGACTTTGGCTCGACGCTGATATCTCAATTGACTCGAAGGAGAAGGTAAGGTGCTGTGAAACAAACATCTTCGGAGGTCGCGCTAGCCTGCCCCACCCGTTCACCAAATCCAGCACCTACCCACCTCAGGAGCTACTCGTACGTCAAAAGTCCACCAGTTGGTCCCTTTTCATTGAATCTGATTCGAGCTCGAGCTCGATCTCACAGCCTCACGGAAGACCCCGTTTCTCCTGCGCCGGAACGTGGGATCATCACAAGTGACAAACACGCTCACACCGATAGACTAAACCCAGATAGGACCAGGAACAAAAGCTCCAGCACTGCGGCGCTGCAGCACTGCAGAAGGGGGAGCAACACCTACTCTCTCCCAAACGTAGGTTCACCGATTAGGAAAAGCCGGGAATCCATTCGCTCATTCACGCCGGAAGAGCCAACGCGATTAATCAGAAAAGCACTCTATAGAATAGTGGAATATTGACCGATCGGGATTAAAGTGGAGAAGAGCCCCCGTCGCCGGAAACTATCCGACTTGGGGCTTTGCCGTTTTCGAGCCGACTCGGACGGGATAGCCGGGGTCGACTGTCTAATGTAGATTGTGTTAGCGCCCAAACACCCTGTTCAGGATGCGCAAAAAGGAGCCTCTTCTTCACCACCGCCTTCCTCTTGGGCTCTGATATCCTCCCCCAAGAGTCTTGTTGTCCCCCTTCTCTCGTATTTCTGACTTTTTCCCTCGCTTAAATCCTTCCTTTCCACTAACGATGCGTTTCGCAGTATCCGAACTGTCAACGAATGCTACGTCTAGGACTCTAGACCACCCCATCCACCGCATGGGTAGGGACGGTAGTGGATCTGCAGATGGGGACGACAGCCGGGATCTGATTCAAAAGGGACAACGTGAGCTCACCTAAATCGGCTGGGATCACTCAATCTGGCATGTTATTCGTATTCTGCCAATAGCACAGCCCTTTTGGCAGGGGCGATTTGAACGGGGTCCGCGAAGCGAGGCCCTCGTCAAAAGACGAGAGTCTGGTATGTGGGAGTAAACTGCTCGTGGTCTTCATGGGTGAAGATGCGATATATGCTAGTCAACCGCTGTCTTTACATTTGAGCTTAGTCTCTCTTCCTCCTCCTCCCTCCCTACTTCCATCCCTCTCTCCCTCTGTAGGTGCCGCAGTTCAAGCCAAGGCAATCACTCGTTCTGCTTTGTGCTGTTGTCATTCGTTGATCCCTGCCGGTCATTATACTCCAATCGTTCACCAATCGACTTTCTTTACACCGTATCTCCTCCTACTCGTTGTTCTTCCTTCTTTGGCCAATCAACCGTTGCCTTAATACCTTAATCCTCTCATTAATTAAATAACATGCGCTCCTTCGCAACATCACTCTCTTTTCTGGCCGTCGGGGCTCTTCAGGGCGTCTCAGCCTTGGACGCTGCCGGATGGAGAAACCAGAGCATCTACCAGATCATCACCGACCGTTTTGCCACCTCTGATGGCTCGACCCCAGTCTGCGATATCACCCCGGGCCTGTACTGTGGCGGCACCTGGAAGGGCATCACCAGCAAGCTGGACTACATCCAGAACCTTGGTGCCACCGCCATCTGGATCTCGCCTGTCGTGAAGAACGTCGAGGGAAACGTTGGCGGCAACGGAGAGGGCTACCACGGCTTTTGGACCGAGGACCTCTACTCCATCAACCCGCATTTTGGTACTGAAGCCGACCTCCTGGAGCTCTCCAGCGCACTCCACGCTCGCGGCATGTACCTCATGGTCGACGTCGCCCCCAACCACTCCGGTCTGAACGACTCCCCTGGCAACTACACAAAGTACAAGCCCTTCAACAAGCCCGAGTACTACCACAAGGAGTGCTCCATCAACTGGAACAACCTCCAGTCCGAGCAGCTCTGCTGGCTCGAGGGTCTGCCCGACCTCCGCACCGAGGACGACTTCGTCCGCAAGATCTACGCCGAGTGGATCAAGGACCTCGTCACAAAGTACTCCATCGATGGCCTCCGCGTTGACACCGCCCTCGAGATTGAGCCCGAGTTCTTCACCGAGGGCGGCTTCCGCGAGGCCGCCGGCGTCTTCCTCCTCGCCGAGGTCAGCCACTCCTCCCTGACCCTGCTCGCCCCCTACCAGAACTACCTCGACGGCATCATGGACTACAGCAGCTACCACCTCTTCGCCACCGTCTTCTCCACCCTCGAGGGCGATATGGACAAGGTCTACGAGAGCGTCAACACCATGGCCGGCATGTCCTCCATCGACCCCTCCGTCTGGGGCTCCTTCGTCGAGAACCAGGACCAGCCCCGCTTCCCCTACCTGAACGGCGACGTCGCCCTCGCCAAGAACATGTACGCCCTGACCATGCTCCGTGACGGCATCCCCATCATCTACTACGGCCAGGAGCAGCACTTCAACGGCGGCCCCAACCCCAACAACCGCGAGGTCTTCTGGACGACTGGCTTCGACGACAAGGCGGAGCTCTACGGCTGGATCCAGCAGACCAACAAGATCCGCGCCCACGCCGCCGCCGCCAACGCCGACTTCCTCACAAAGGAGCGCACCCGCGCCGTCTTCTCCTACGGCAGCACCGACAGCAGCCGCGTCATCGGCTTCCGCAAGGGCCAGCTCTTCTCCATGTACACTAACGGCGGCTCCGCCGCCAACAACGGGGTCATGTTCTCCATCGCGCGCAACGTCCACGGCTTCGCCGTCGGTGCCGAGATTGTCGACGTCTTGAACTGCGAGTCCTTTACCGTTGCCTCCCACGGCCGTCTGTGGGCGCAGATGCCCGCCGGTGGCCTGCCTCGCGTCTTCTTGCCCAAGGAGCAGACCGAGGGTCTCTGCAACGATGTCAAGGCGCCTGTCGCGGACGCCACTGTCAAGGTCGGTGTCGACAAGAACACTGGCTACAGCAGACGGGCTGTGATGCTGGAGTAGATGTGTTGTGCGTTGGGAGTTCGTTCGAATGTGTAGTCGACGGGAAGCGGTATTGAACAGCCCTGGTCACCAGGCCGTTATGTGAAGCTGATGATCATGCTCATGTAGATGACTACTGAATGTCGAGCGTTGTCTGCGTAATAATTAATAGTAATACGAAGCCATGTGTCTTAACATGCTGCCTTTCCTACAGTGACAAAAAGCATCGTGTTTCCCAAGGCTCGAGAAAGCTCTTGGCCGACCTGACTTTGACTTGTGATGCCACTCGCGACTCAGGTCTAGAGTGATCCTTAGGTCGTTTAAGAGGGGTATACAAGCCTGACGAGTAAGGAAGGAGCGGCGGACAGGGTATAATAAACCTTGAAGCAGGCCAGAAGCCTGGCGGGTCCATTCATCCACTGCCCGTTTGGGGACTGAGGTGACGGGACGAACTTGCCTTCCATTCAGAACCCACAAGCAACATCATGAGACCGTAGCCTGCTACCTTGATAGTCCGGCTTGGAAGTGGCGGGCTGGTGCTAACCGCACCTTACCTTCCCACACCTGCCGCGAGAGAAGCCTATATACCCCCCTTCAAGTCCATTCCCGTCACCAACGGCAGCAGGCGCCTCACAGGCTTGCGAGGTCAGGTCAAACTGCCGTTTGGCGGGATGGTTACGGGCGAGCCTATTCAGCTGGCTTAGCCTACACCGGGGTTCTAGGTTCGAGTCCCAGCATGAGCACCAAGAGATGTAGCCCCCAGTTCAGCACCGGGGGGGTGAACTCTTTTTGGTTCTCGGGTGTTTTGGACCTTTTGGTATTTGTATGAGGTAATCAGGGTCCATCACGAAACACTACGGCCGGTGTTGGTATCAAAGCCTCAGCGGCGTGTAGATCTGGGAAGTCTCGGCTTGAAGGTAATCTAAGCTCGATGTTCGTTAAGTCGTCGTCGTCTAGCAAGACCAAGACGACTTACCAGTTACAGCAGCTCTGACGACACACAGTGCCGTGCGAATTGCCAACGACCAAGCAGTCTGGGTATATGTATGTGCCAGCCCATAATGCTAGGTATCACTTCTCTGTCTAGCTGGCTCACAAGCCTTGCTAAAGAACCAAATTCTCCTTAGCGGGCGATGCAAAGCTAAATTTTCACTTGTGCAAACAGAACGACGTGGGCTTGAATGTCATAATTGTGGTCATGGGAAAATGTACCGAAACCTATTCCCTTTCCTTTCTCATCCTCTCTCCTTTCCTCTTCCAACTGTCCAGAGGTAAAAACAAGAAACTGTAATCATGACTTTTTGTGGTATCCGCTATGCTGTAGTAAAGGGACCTAAGAGGAAATGCGAGATTGCGCGGACTGGGTATCCTGCTGTCTTTCCAAACACCATTGCTATGCTTCAGTCGTAACCGTACTTGATAACTTTTTGTGGCTTCATCACTCGTTCAAATCTCTATAGTCATCACGCATAAAAGACGAAGGCTGTAAAACAAAGTCGGGATAGGGCGAGTGTCACCGCCGCAACGGCGTCCCCGCGGGTGTGCTGTAAGCAGAGCGGTCGTAGCTCTTGTGCTTTGACCGTTTGCGTTTGAGGGCGGTCCAGTCGGTTTTCCAGTTCTGAATGCTTTGGGCGAGGTCGTCGTCAACATCGGTTGGGCATTGCACTTCTATAGCCTTGAGGCCGAGGCGCAGATAGCTGAGTTCCGAGTCGTTTTCTTGGAGTTCTTCTTCTCTGCGATGAGTCAGTATGGAAGGCACACAAACAACCCACGAGGGGACTGTTTCGAGACATACAAGTCATGTACTCGACCTTGGAGGAAGATGATTCTTTGTGCTGCGCGTTCTGCACGGGTTACGAGAAGTTGGTGGATGTGCTTTATTCTGGTCAGTGGCCTCCCCTCCCGAGTTGGGCGTTTTCATGTCTCACCTCCGATTCCTCTTGACGGGCCTTGAGGTTTGTGACGAGGGATTCCAGCTCGATGTTGAGTTTTGCTGCTTCGGACGCGATGCGGAAAGTATCAACCGCGGGCTTCCTTTCAACGGTAGGTTCAGGCGAAGGCGTATCTCTTCTGAATGAGCTGCGGAAGGACGGTGAGATTTCCGAAAGGCCCGACCGAAACCATGACGGCGAAGGCGAAGTCCACAAGGATTCATGCTCAACACTCCGGGCGTCTGCCGGCCAATTCTTTGGCTTGCCCTGTGGTGTTGCTTGAGGCGGCTCTCCAGCTAAGACTGAATCGATCTCATCAAGCTTCCCGTGCATGGCGCTAACGTTTGTGTCAGGGACATCTTCACCCGCGAGGAGCTTTTGCGCCAAGTCGTTGAGCCGCTGGATCAGACCGAGAGTATCTCGAGTGTTTTCAGTGTTCTCATTCGTCTTTTCAGTCCCATTTGAATGAGTTGATGCAGTGAGATCATCCTCGGTCCATGAGCGCGCTAGAGGGCTCTTAGCCACCGGCGTCGAGAAATAACCACCGGGCGTTGAAAATTGCTGGCGAGGAGTCGGTGAGAGAGGTGAGAAGCCCCGATAGCTCATCGGTGAGGGAAGAGAGGGCGTTGAAATTTGCGGTGAAGAGGCATGCGGCGTTACGGGGACCGATTTGCTGGTTTGGCTCCTGGAGCGGCGCAAGCGGCCTTTGCATGGGCTGTTGTCGTCCTCATCGTCATTCAAATCGAGAAAACGTAGGCCCAGCCCCGAATCCGATCTGCCGTCCGACATTTCTGGTCATTGAAGTGAAAAAGGTATTTGGACAATGTTTAATAGGGCGGCGGCCGGCCAACCGAAAAACCGGGTCTTTGGCCTCCTAGACAAATAGTCCCCGTGTGTATGTAGTGTATTCCTCTCAGAGGTATGGGTAACGGAAAAGACGCGCGACAAGGCAAAGAACTGCCGGTTTGGGCTCGATTGCAATGCGACGAGTCGACTCTGCATGCACCGGATGAAAGCAGCACGGCGCGGCAAGCTAGTGGGAGGTAGTATTCCCGAAGACGATCCGAAAGGGCGGCTTCTGGTGCAAATGCCAAAGATTGGGGGATTTTGGGCGTCAGCTGCAGGAGAATCGGGCGCTGTTTGGTCAAAGTGGCCGACCAATTGGCGATGCGTCGAGTCTTGTCTTTGGCGCGTTCGACGCGTGAGGTGGCTTTGGAAGGCGTGGGAGGCTGGTGAAGGCTGGGCGAGGACTCGGGGGGCTTGAAGAATTGTGGCGCCTTGCATGTGACCACAGGGGTCAAGCTGGGACTGCGACAATGGGTGAACGCTGGAGACGGATTTACCTAGGGCCATTTTGCGAGAAGGGGGAAGGACGCGACCGGGATGTGATTGGGGAGGTGACGGCTAGAGCTGCTAGCAGTTGCTGTAGTGGAGGTGCACCTACCTTAAGGTACCTTGCTTGGGGATACCTAGCTACCTTACGGAGTACCTTTGCTCCGTAACCTCCTCACCTTATGTCAGCATTTACCTCAAGACTCAGTGTGGGGGAAGCAAGCAAGCCTAGGCACGGGCACAGCTCTCTCGGCTACGAGGAAGGGCAGACGCTGAACAAGAGCCCCCCCCGCCGCGGTTGACCGTCGTCGCGTGCTGTAGAGTTGGAGAAGGAAATTGATAGTGACGGAAGTACACACCAACTGCCACGATCCGTTCCTTTCCGCCGTCCGTCACTCCGTCACATGCCCGACATATAATCGTGACTCTTCATTGTCCGGCATTCAATCTCAAGTTGGTGGTGGTAAGTATGTGTGCTGGCTATTCAATTTCTCTTTGTTTTTGTTTTTCTCTTTTTCATTTTTTCGCTCAATCAGTGTGGTTTAACGATTCGGTCTTTTTCCGGGTTTCTGGAGCTGGTTTATCTTAACTGTCTCCTTGACTGACAGAGCAAAACTGCTCATTATCTGCACCGTACCCAATGTTTATTCTGGAGATACTACATGGCATCCATCCGGCCTGTATATCTACTGTGGTACTGTAAGAGAGCTGTAGATATGTATGCCCACGCTGTGAAGTGAAATAGAGTTGGCAACGCACAGAGACTCTTGCCGTGATACCATCGAATTAACGCCCCCAGTCACCCTTCTCTACTTGGCTAATAGCTGTTCGAATAAAGAATCTGAACATACACATTCGCACCTCGGGCTAAACAATTGCGAACCGTTGTTACGGCCAGAACCGGCGGGAAACTCGCTTGAAGCGCACCTCTACGGTCGGCTATGTAAGCCGGGTTGAGGTACTTATCGTGCTATCATCGAACCATGGGCCTAGGCAGTATGACGCCGAGTCGGGGCAAGTACCTGCGTACCATTGCCGTCCGCCCAGAGCATCAGGAACTCTCCACTGAGGAGCCCTGGCCCGGCCTTGTTCCTGTCGTCCCCGGCAATCCCAAGCTCTCACCTTCTTGAGGTCCCAGTTCCTATTCCGTCTCCATTACCAGAAATAAACCTACACGAAACACCTCCCGTACGCTGCACGCGACCTCTCCTCAATCCCATTGACTATGCGGCAGTAGATCTGGCTTTAATCTACAACCTCGTCTCCCAATCCCTCGACATCTCTTCCTCCGCATTTCGCCCGCTCGTGTCTGTTCCATGTTGCCCTGCGTCATACAGCCTCGGTAAAGGCCGCCCCAACTCGGTCACGCGGGGTTCGATTCGAATACCTCATTTCAACAGTAGATCGCCAATTCAGAGCCGCCCAACATGTCGTGGAGGAAGACGGATAGGTTGATGGATACCATCAGGCATTACGCCAGTTTCCCGGCAACTGGTGTGAGCTTGAGGCAGATGGTCCAATTTGGAGAGAAGCCCTCAGTTGGTTCGTCAACCCTTGGCAACTCCCCTCCGTTTCCTAACGGCTTGCATTTACCTCCCCTCTGCTCCGTTGCTTGCTGAGCTTGCATGCGACAGCAATGCGCCAGTTCCTACTTGACTAGCTTTTCGTTCAAGGTGCCATGGTGCTGACTGTTCATTCTGCTTCCAGGAACCCTCTTCCGTGCTTCACAATTCCTTGCCGAGGAGTTACCAATTCGCCTTGCCCATCGCGTTCAAGAGCTCGACGAACTTCCAGATGGCCTCAACGACATGCCTTCTGTGAAGCGAGTGCAGGACTGGTACGCACAGTCATTCGAGGTACGTCAAGGCTCTTCTGTCGCATAATGCATGAAGGACATGACTCACTGACACTTATCCGTCCGCGCAGGAACTTACACAACTTCCCCGACCTGACTTGGATAAATCAACAAAAGAAAGGCTCTTGAGGCCTGCCAAATCGTACGGGAAAGGACCAATGCTCTCCGAGGCAACCCGAAATCCAAGCATCGAGGAAGGCCAATATGCGTCTTTGCCGCAGTCCAATGGAAACGGCTGGAGCAAGCAGAAGAACGTCGCCGCACGGAGATATTTTGCAATGGTGGATGATGTCGGCGATTGGCCGCCTGAGCTGCGCTTGTACAACGAGCGCTTCGCCAAAGCCCTGCATGGCATCAAGAGGCGCCACGACGGAGTTGTCACCACCATGGCACAGGGCATCCTGGAGTACAAGCGCAAAAGACAGCGCATGCAGATTGATAACAACATCCAGTCATTCCTCGATCGATTTTACATGTCGCGCATAGGAATCCGCATGCTCATCGGTCAGCACATTGCCTTGACCGATCAAAGCCACCACCGAGATCCCACCTATGTCGGCATCATCTGTACCAAGACGAATGTTCAGGATCTCGCGCAAGAAGCCATTGAGAATGCACGCTTTGTCTGCGAGGACCACTACGGACTTTTCGAAGCACCCAAGATTCAACTCGTCTGCAACCCTAACCTGAACTTCATGTACGTTCCAGGGCATCTGTCGCATATGCTCTTTGAGACTTTGAAAAACTCTCTTCGCGCCGTTGTCGAAACACACGGTCAGGATAAGCAGGAATTCCCTGTGACCAAGGTCATTGTTGCAGAGGGTAAGGAGGATATCACCATCAAGATCTCGGACGAGGGTGGTGGTATTCCCCGAAGCTCTATACCTCTCGTTTGGACATATATGTATACCACTGTGGATCGCACACCGAATCTGGACCCGGACTTTGATAAGAACGACTTTAAAGCGCCTATGGCTGGCTTTGGGTACGGACTGCCTATCTCACGACTTTACGCGCGATACTTTGGAGGAGACTTAAAACTTATCAGCATGGAAGGGTGAGTTGCGCGCTGTGCCATGGACTGACCCTACGTAACCCCAAGCTAACCCCTAATGCAGATATGGCACGGATGTTTATTTGCATCTCAATCGTCTGTCCAGCTCATCGGAACCTCTTCAATAGGGACCAGCAGTCATGAGGGACAGGAACGCTCGAGGATTGACGCTAGGGTTAAGGTATACACTGCACAAGAGGCTTAAGGATCGCGAGATCACGGAGCGTCGGCAGGTTGGAGACGCTCAGGAGATGATGAATCGGGGCGACACGGATCCTGGGTATTTCAAGCAAGACAACGACTTGTGATCAGCCTGTCTTGAAACAGGCCATTAATCGCTCCTCAATGTCCGGCGATCGAGATCGTGTCGGAGAACCGAACCCCTCCGTTACTTGATCCATAGCGGCAAGGCGAAGGACGTCGGGGCTTCTACAATCAGGTCGCCGACACCTTGAGGGCGGGAGTACTCTAAGCCAGCATGATGTTGGAATCTGGGATGGCACCATCTCCGCGCCCGTTGTGGCACGTGGGGAGGACACCTTGTTTTTTGTTTTCTTCTTTTGGGTATGGTTTGGGGGCATTTTCAAAAAGAATTACCCCGGCTGGACAGGAGCACGGGATCACACACACACATTGGACAGGCCGCATCGGCAATGAGACTGGATGGCGGTGGGCGTCTCGGGCTTCTTTTTCGCCACATGTTTCTCTCGTTACACAGTTGAAATACACATGGTTGCATAGGGAACATTTCCATTTGCAAAGTGAACTGACTATTAATGAAGTTGCGGTCGCCTGACTATCGAGGTACCTGAAAGAGCAAAACTTTTCCGTGCCTTCCTTCCCGTGATCCTAACCGTTCCGAACCGCCACCGTCCTATCGTTGAGAAGTTGCAAAGTTGGAGAGAAGTCGAACTCCATGTAATCCGTGGAAATATGCCCAGAACTGCCATCCCTTCGCGTTCCCTGATTTCTCAGGCGTTGTCCCCGTGAAGCTTCCAGAGACTATAGCTGCGCTGTAGCTGGTAGCAAACATAAAACATCCTTCCACTCCTCTAGGAATGTGAGGTTGGTCGGTGGTTTGTTGCCGGACGACTTGCCCGTGAATATTGGGACGGGATGGCTTTGCGCTGAGCTGCGATCAAAACGCAGGCAAGAAACTCAAAGAAGCACAAATAAAGAAAAGGAAGAAAAGAAAACAATGAGACAGATGAGGGCGTCGGATGGCCACTGATGGAGATGTTTCCATGGCTGCATGAAACCACCGCTACCAAATAGAGTTATTTGGTGCCCAGATGACGCGTGGAACAATGAGGTTCCTACTCGTCGTCACTGTCGTCATCGCCGTTGCCGTACGGAATGGGGTTGAAGATTGTCTGAGGCTGAGGCCTTCCTCTCTGGAGCGCGCGGTGCTCCGCCTTCGAGAGCTGCTTTCTATCGCGCTGACGATCCTTGAGAGTGCATTAATAGGGTACCGAAACATTGGAAAGTGATACATGAACTTACACCGGGCCAGGGACCGCTAGGGGCAACGCTCGAGGTGGCGAGAGCCGTAGGGTTGGATCCAGTCTCGGGGCGACCTCCCTCGTAGGTATTGCGACTCTTAATGATGGAAGAGCCACTGGACTGCGTGGTGGGGACCTTGGTCTTGATATGCTTCTTGCCAGCCGAGTCGTAGGCATTGAAGTTGACGTCAAGGAAGGTGTTGTGAAACTCGTAGTCACGACCTGTCTCAGTGGTGCCTGCAATAGCCGAGGTAGCAGCAGAAGCAATGCTTTCGTTGTCCAGGCCGGAAGCAACGGCATTGTAGCCAGCATGGCCGACATTGCGAGCCTCAAGGCCGATCGGGCCAGCAACGTAGGGCTGACGAGTTCTGATGCCCAGAGACTCAATGCGAGTCGAGAGGTCATCCGCGGTAGTGAGGCCGTTGGTTCCAGTGATAGGAGCAAGGGGCTGTCAGGGCAGATTAGTCTTGTTCAAGTTGACAGCTCGTAGTCTTTCTTACCTGGTCAACCTCACTGCGGAAGTCAAAGATCTCGGAGGGATCAGTCGGCAGGTTACTCGCGTAGTCGTCCGTGTCCTCCAGGGGGTCCAGTTGAGTGTTAGGACCGGCCCAGGGAGTGTATCCGGGCTCCTGGGTGTTG